GACGCCCGCTCAGCCTGCTCAAGGAGAGACGCCCGCTCAGCCCGCTCAACCGCCTGCTCAAGGAGAGACGCCCGCTCAGCCTGCTCAAGGAGAGACGCCCGCTCAACCGCCTGCTCAAGGAGAGACGCCCGCTCAGCCTGCTCAAGGAGAGACGCCCGCTCAGCCTGCTCAACCAGAAGAACCCACTCAGCCGAAAATGCCTGCAGCTCAGCCGGACATTCAGCCAGAGATGCCTGACCTTCTTAACCATCAGCCAGAGACGCCTGCTCAGGCGCAGTCAGAGGCCCCCCCTGCTCAACCAGAGACAGATGCACCGTCTAGTCAGCCAGGAAAGCCCGCTCAGTCGCAGCCAGAGGAGTCCGTTGAGCCAGAGACAGAGACTCCCGCTCAGCCGCAACCGGAGACAGAGACGCCTGCTGAGCAGCCGCAGCCAGAAGAGTCTGCCCAGACAGAGACAGAGACTCCTACTCAACCATTGACAGGAGAGCCCATCCAGTCAGAGACAGAGACGCCTGCACAGCCGCAACAGGAGACTCCCATTCAATCCCAGCCAAAGTCACCCACCCCTCAGCTAGAGACTCCGTCAACTCAATCAGAACTGCCAGCACAGCCGCAGCCAGAGACGCCGCCTGCTCAACCGGAGAGACCACCTACTCAACCAGAAGAGCCCACGCAAGCAGATTCTTCTGACATTCAGCCAGAGACGACTACTCAGCCGCAGCCAGAGGTTCCAGATCAGTCGCAATCTGAGACGCCTGCGCAGCAAGAGGCGCCGGCTCAGCCAGACGCTCCCGCTCAACCAGAAGACTCTGCCCAGCCAGAAATGCCTGCTGATCCGGAAGCGCCTGCTCAACCGCAGCCGCAGCCGCAGAGCCCAGCTCAGCCAGATACGCTGCCACCTCAACCAGACGAGCCAGCTGAGCCAGAGGCTCCAGCTCTGCCCGAGGCTCCAGCTCTGCCCGAGGCGTCTTCTGCTCAAGCGCAGCCCAAGACGCCTGCTGCTCAGCAAGAGATGCCTGCTCAGCCGCAGTCAGAGACGCCTCCAGCTCAAGTAGAGTCGCCTCCTGCTCAGACGCTGCCAAAGTCTCCCGCTCAGGCGGAGACGCCTGCTCAGCCAGAGACGCCTGTCCAGTCGCAACTGGACGTTCCGGCTCAGCCCGACACGCCTGACGCTCAACTGGAGACGCCACCGACTCAACCCAAAGAGCCCGCGCAGTCAGAGACGCCTGCAGCTCAGCCGCAGGCCGAAATACCTGCTCAGCCAGAGACGTCCGCTCAGTCAGAGACTCCCTCTCAGCCGCCGCCCGATACGCCTGCTCAATCGCAGTCGGAGACTCCAGCTCAGCAAGAGACGCCTGCTCAAGCGGAACCACAGAAGCCCGCTCAGCCGCAGACAGAGACTCCTGACGCTCAGCCTGAGCCTGATATGCCTACTGAGGCGGAGGTAGAGACGCCTGCACCTCAGCCTGAAAAGCCTGCTCAGGCAGGGGCGCCCGCTCAGCCAGAGTCAAAGACGCCTACTGAGACGCAATCAGAGCCAGTGACGTCATCTCCTCAGCCAGCGGCACCTGCTGAGCTAGAGCCGCAGATGCCCGCCGAGCCAGAGACGCCAGAGGCTCCTTCTCAGCCAAAGATACCTGACGCTCAGTCAGAGATTCCTGACGCTCAGTCAGAGACGTCTACTGAGCCGAAGACGCAGACACCTGCTCAGCCGCAGGCAGAGACGCCTGCACCTCAGCCGCAGCTCGGGTCGCCCACTCAGCCGGACACACAAACGCCAGCTCAGCCAGAGATGCAGACATCCGCACAATCAGAGACGCCTACTCAGCCAGCAACGTCTACTGAGCCGCAGCCGGAGACCGCACAATACAAAGCGCCCGCACAGCCGGAGATGCAAACGCCAGCTCAGCCTGAGACTCCCAATCAAGCAGCGACATCTGACGCTCAGCTAGAGACGTCTACTGAGCCACTGCCGGAGAAGACTACGGAGGCGCAGACAGCGACATCTGACGCTCAGCTAGAGACGTCCACTGAGCCGCTGCCGGAGAAGACTACGGAGGCGCAGACAGCGACATCTGACGCTCAGCTAGAGACGTCTACTGAGCCACTGCCGGAGACGTCTTCTGGGCCTGACGCAACGCCTGCTCAACCAATAACGACATCTACCCAGCCACAAGAGCCTGCGCAAGCTGAAGCGCCTCAGCCGAAGGATACCATCCAGCAGCCTGTCTCTCTTCAGCCCAACCAGCCCGTCCAGCCGAACGTCGCTGCACAACCAGACTCGACTGATGAAGAGACGGTTAAGTCCAATCCATCTCAGTCTACGCCTTCGACGGACGAACCCTCTCATGAGTCACTTGAGCCAGCTTCATCTTCTTCCTCCTCGACAGGCGGCGACACTACGTCAGGCGATCTAACTCAGTCTGGAACGCCAGCTATAACCCAGCCCAGTCAAGCAGGTGATCCCGAGACAGGCAGCGATGCTACGGCCGTCACTTCATCGGCAGATGGCGATGCCGCGCAAGCAGATGTTTCAGCTCAGCCTGACGTGCCGACCGAAAGCGCTGGCTCAAGTCTAGAAGGCGATCTCGCTCCTTCAGGTTCTTCAGCAGCAGAGACTTCTACCGAGAACGCAGCTGAAGCTCACGAGCAGGAAGGCGCCACGACTCAGTCCCAGGCAGCCGGGGAAAAGAAGGCAACTGAGGAGAAGCAGGTAGTTACTTTCGATGAGCAAAACTCTCAAGAAGACGAATAGGCAGTTGTCTGATCTTGACTGCGGGAGGTTGGGAATCTGGTCGAGGACGAGAATGCCCGAAGCACGGGACCCACCCAGCTCGCCTTCCACGGAAATGATGTCTCCACGCGCGCACTGATCGGAGGAGCCTCTTTTGTCACCGTTGCGTGGCCTTTCTCTGATACGTTTCCGTCATTGTTCTTTCTATCAGCTTGTTAAAGTTGATCCATCATCCATCTGGGATAGCCGTCACCTGTGTCTCTCTATTTGGTCACACTCATACAGAAGCAACGCGACTTGATGCTTAGATCTGAAATCTGTGTGAGCGAGCGGGCGACACAATGAGGGAGGTCAAGATTGGTCCTCTTTTGCCTTGCTGCTGACCTGCCCTTGTGCTGCAGTTGTTCAACGGCCAAGACTTCCATCGAGGAATCCCGCTCGAGCGGGATCGCCTCCTTACTGCCCCTGATCAGAGGACGCTAAAGAGAGCGGGGCAAGGTGGCGCAAAGCCCGATCTAAGGCAGGTAGACGCTCGACGCTCGGGCCCTCGGTTGCAAAGGGAATTGTGGGGCCTGGATCTCGCGGGAGCTCAGCCAGAGCGGGCTGAGCTGCTCTTTGCAACTTTTTGTACGGTTCATTCAACGCGGGACGTTCGTTGCACTCAGATGCGGGCCCGAGCGTCGCCTTGTCGCAACACCTTGAGTATTGATGAGGACGTGGGATGAGGACGAGAAAGGGTGGGTCTCGTGGGGGCGATACATAAGTGGAATGGCGGACGTCCTCTTCCTCGGGCATTGTTGTCTCGTCACCAGAATCATCTTCGAAGATGCGCTTCGCGACCCTCTTCACAGTCACCATCCTAGCCCTCTCCTCCGTGCAGGCTCTTCCCAGCCTTGAGCCACGCCATCAGCGAGGCAACGGTATCAGCTGCAAGCGTGCGACGCAATGCAAGTCGCAGTATTGCAATAACGGGAAGTGCGACACCAAGAAGCCTCTTGGCTACAAGTGCTCCGTCCATGATGGCTGTCAGAGCGGCTGCTGCAGTGAGTCACTGTAAGGTGCGGTATTGACGCGATCGAGGCTGACATCATTGCCCATCGCGCAGACAAGGGCAAGTGCGACCAAAAGGCCAAGAAGGCAAGCCACCCTCACCCAGCACCAAAGAAGACCAACCCGCAGTCGAAGCCTCATCCGAAGCCAAAGCCCAAGGCACCGCACCCCCACCCTCACCCGCACCCGTACCCCAGACCACAGCCGGATCGGCCTCATCCTCAGCCCCAGCCTCAGCCCCAGCCTCAGCCCCAGCCTCCTCAAAATCCTGAGCAGCCTCAGCCCAACCCTCCGACTGTACCAGGGCCCACGCCCGAGCAGCCGCAACCAGGGCCAGCACCCGATCAGCCGCAGCCACAGCCGCAGCCCGGTACCACTGTACCCACAATAGAGTACACCGGCGCCTTCTCGTTCTTGAAGGCAGACGGCCAACCAGGTGACCTTCTTGGCCTGTCGTTCGGCCAGAAGCGATCTGAACGCCCAGCCGATGTCACCATCGTGGGTCGGGAGGAGCTTTGGACGCTCAAAGCTGACGGCACTTTGATGTCGCCCGCGGGTCATCTGCTCTACGGCGACGGAACCGTGGTCAAGGCTTACCCAATCGCCGGCGCCAGGCCAGACAAGCTCAGTCTGTACACGTGTACGCTCGACAAGAGCTTGATGGCAAGCGCATACGTGCTTGACTGCAGTGTGCCAGACAAGGCGAACGGAGGACGCTCAAGCTCCTTTGTCATCTGCTCCGGCGCAGGCGAAGTCCAAGCGAGGGCTGAAGGCTGCAAGAGCGGTGTTGCCACGCGCTTCGATCATCTGATCCTCGACGGTCATCAAAGGGAGGCTTCTCCCAGTCCACAAGATCCAGTCGTGCACGATCAACCTACCACTCAACCGAGCGATCCGGTCACGCAGCCTCAACCAAACGATCCTGTCACACAGCCCAGCACCCCTGCTCAGCCGCAAGACCCCGCTCAGCCCAATCCTGTCACTCAGCCCAGCACCCCTGCTCAGCCGCAAGACCCCGCTCAGCCCAATGACCCTGGACAAACGACTGACCCTCCAGCCCAGCCTAACGATCCCGCCGCGCCCACGCCCAATCAGCCCATCAGTGGCGTCTTCTCGTACATCGCCACTTCGGGCATGTCTGCGCAATTCTTGGGCGACAAAGCGATTGCGCTACGAGACGACTTGCTATCGTCCGAAGTCAGCGTCAAGACTTCACCCCGCACCTGGACTATGACGTCGGAGGGTTCTCTCGTGTCGAACTTCGGAGCAGTACTCAGCGGCGATGGCGTCCGCGTTCGGACTGTTCTCGAGGGTGCTACTGTCGAAAACTACCGCCCATACAAGTGCACAGTAGACGACAGCACCACGGAAGATACTACGGTACTCAACTGCGAGGTCAAGAGTCCCAGCGGGATGTTCACGTGGAACAGTTTCGTGGTCTGCGAGGACGGTCGTGTAGAAGGCAGCAGCATGCCATGCGACGGCGAGGTTAAGGCCTACTTCACCCACTTTACCCTAGGAGCGCAGATGACGACGAGCCCGCAGCCAGATACGACCATTCCCGGGACAACACAGCCCGGCACCTCCCAGCCGGAGACGCCCGCTCAGCCTGAAACGCCTGTTCAGCCAGGAACGCCCGCTCAGCCGCAACCGGAGACACCCACTCAGCCTGAAGTTCCTGCTCAGCCACAGACGCCAGCACAACCGGAGACGCCCGCCCAATCATACATTCCTGGCTTTATCCATTACAGCGGCGTCTTCTCTTACCTTAACTCGGAGGGCAAACCAGGCGACTATTTGGGCGATACCGTCATCCACCGCCGCGATCTCGCTGCTCGTGCTGCTGGAGCCGACGTCACGGTTCGGCGGCAAGCACAGACGTGGACGGTGGACCAGAATGGTTATTTGACGTCGTCCTCGGGTGGTCGACTGTTTGGCGACGGCGAGCGAATCAAGACGTACAGTGCAAACGCACCTACCAGCTTTTCTCCATACGAGTGCTTCGCCGATACCGCAAGCTCGACCGAGGACACTACGGTGCTCAATTGCGAGGCACAACTGAAGTCAGGGCAGCGCAAGGCCAACTCATTCGTCATCTGTACAGACGGACGTGTGGAAGGCAGCGACTCGGCCTGCCTCGATGGAGATGCCACCCATCCCTCGTTCACCCAGTTCATCTTGGGCGGCGAGAGGAGTACGCCAGTCGACGAAGCGAAGAAAGACGAGGAGACGAAAGAGGAAGCCGAGGAGAAGGCGAAAGCTGCCGAGGAGGAGGCCAAGAAGCAGGCGGAAGCTGAGGAGGCCAAGAAGCAGGCGGAAGCTGAGGAGGCCAAGAAGCAGGCGGAAGCTGAGGAGGCCAAGAAGCAAGCCGACGAAGAGGCCGAGAAGCAGGCTGAGGCTGAGGCCGCGGCTGCGGAGGTCAAGAAGGCGACAGAGGCTGAGGAGGCCAAGAAGCAAGCCGAGGCTGAGGCTGCGGAGGCCAAGAAGCAAGCCGAAGAAGAGGAGGCCAAGCAGGCGGATATTGAGCAGGCCAAGCAGGCTGCAGAAGCTGAGCGGGCCAAGAAGCAAGCCGAGGAAGAGGCTGAGGAAGCGAAGAAGGCGGCAGATATCGAGGAGGCCAAGAAGAAGGCAGAGGAGGACAAGCCCAAGAAGCCACTGTCGTCTGGCATCTTGTCGTGGCCGGGCTCATCCAGGTTCCTCTTCGAGGAGACCAGTCCCCGCGGCCCCGAGTCCGCCGGCATACCCTTCTACGAGCGCGCGCTCCGGACAGACGGTCGAAGCGGGGAGGTCTGGGCTATCAATGATTCTGGCAACCTCATCTCTCCAACCGGCAAGCTACTGATCACGGACGGCAGGTTCGTCGGCACGCTCGATGGAGATCGCCTCGCAACGGCGAGCGGACGGTCAGCGTACGTCTGCTCACGAGACGAGAGTTCTACCCCTCAGCAAGCTGTCCTCAATTGCGAGGCTCAGGTGACGACGGGTATTGAGAACGAATTTGCAACCTGCTTCTCACCGTTCGTGCAGACACCCTCTTCGCCCTGCACGTGGCGCAGAATGATCTTCTCGCAACTCAGTCTTACTGCTGTGGAAGATTAAGTCAGCCTTTACCTGCGAGGTGTACTATCCGCTCCTTCACTCTGTCTCTTCGCCTCCTCTCTCGGAATACCATACCATTGTCACCGGCTAAAGAAGAGCGTGGTTGCCCTGCGCCAAGATCTATCTCGAGCCGCCGCCATCATGACCCGCGCGCCCGTCTGACCCTGCAGCATCTCGACTCCCTCGCTTGTGACGCTCCCCCACGCGCTTTTATCTCGAGTGGAGCTTATCTGGCCCCCCCCACCCACTCCCCCACTCCTTTCGTGGAGCTTGTCTCTTCGACTCTTTCCTTCCTTTCTTTCCCTCCATTCACACCCAGCATGACCAAGATCGAAATCAACGCACCCAACGGCACCAAGCTTAGCCTTCCTGATGGCCTCTTCATCGGCGGAGAGTGGAAGACGCCCAGAGGCGGCGAGCAGAGCCGTATCCCCGTCGTGTACCCCGCGACAGGCGAGAAGATCTGCGACGTCGCTGTCGGGTCGAGCGCAGATGTCGACGATGCCGTGCAAGCTGCTGAGGCTGCCTTGGCAAAGGACTGGGGACTAAAGAGTACGCCTGCTAAGCGTGGCGAATTGATGAGCAAGGTGAGTAGCGATACGCCTCGACAAAGCATATAGCCTGCTCTTGCTGAGCCCTACCCTCCCTCTCGCTCGCACGCCGGCGCAGTGGGCCGACCTCATCGAAAAGAATGCTAAGGAACTCTCGATACTCGAAGCTATCGATAATGGCAAGCCGCGCTGGATGGCCGAGCAGATCGACCTAGCAGACTCTGTTGCATGCTTGCGCTTCTATGCCGGCCTGGCTGACAAGGTCGAGGGCAAGACGATGGAGCTCGATGTGACTACCAAGTTTGCTCACACGCGCGTTGAGCCTATTGGCGTGTGTGGGGCGATCATTCCGTGGAACTACCCGGTTCAGGTGAGCCGCGCTAGAGACGAGGATGAGCACGCCGTATGCTGACCACCTCGACCGCCCTCACAGATGGCATGCTGGAAGCTGGGCCCTGCTCTCGCGGCAGGCAACTGCCTTATCCTCAAGCCCGCCGAGCAGACTCCTCTCTCTGCCCTGCGCTTGGCCGAGCTGGCTCAAGAGGCCGGCTACCCCGCTGGGGCTCTGCAAGTCATCAATGGCCTGGGCAGCGAGGTCGGCGCGGCGATTGCGAGCCACAAGCGTATTCGCAAAGTCGCCTTCACTGGGTCTACGGTGACTGGGCGCAAGATTATGGCTATGGCTGCGTCGAGCAACCTCAAGAAGGTGCGCACGACGAGCGGGCGTGATCGAAATGTATTATGCTGACATCTCTGCGTGCCAGGTCACGCTCGAGCTCGGGGGCAAGTCCCCCGTCCTCGTCTTCGACGACGTCGACGTCGAATTTGCCGTACCCTGGGTGGCCATGGCCATCCTCTTCAACATGGGCCAAGACTGCTGCGCAGGCTCGCGCCTCTACATCCAGCGCGGCGTTCACGATGCCTTCGTGGCTAAGCTTACTGAAGCATTCAAGGCTGTCAAGATCGGCGATCCCTTCGACGACACTACGTCGCACGGCGCGCAGGTGAGCGAAGAGCAATACCGCAAGATCCTCGCCTACATCGCCCACGGCAAGGACGAGGGAGCTACGCTCGTCTGCGGAGGCGCCGACTCCAGCTCCATCCAGGGAGTGCCCAAGAGCGGCTACTGGGTGGAACCCACGATCTTCACGCACGCGCGCAAAGGTATGCGAATCGTAGACGAGGAAATTTTCGGTCCCGTGCTCGCTGTGATCCCATTTGATACAGAGGAGGAGGCCATCGCTATGGCAAATGACAGCGAATATGGATTAGGCGCTGGCGTCTTCTCCGAGAATGGGGCTCGCTGCCTGCGCGTGTCGAGCGCAATTCAGGCAGGTACGGTCTTTATCAACAACTATGCCCTGCTTTCGAACGCCGTACCTTTTGGCGGGTACAAGCAGAGCGGGCATGGGAGGGAGCTGGGCGTTGATGCTGTCAAGGAGTGGACGGAGGTCAAGGCCGTGCATTGGAATATTGGAGAGAAGCTCGAGTGGCCGCTGAGAGCGGCGTGATGGCACGGCGCCGTGCGCTCCAACAAAGTTATCTAGCATGCAGTGCTCTTGACATGAATGACACGAGTCTAATCATCGCCTGATCGCCGCTGTGAGATGTCGCCGCTGTTAGGACCTTGCTATACGCTGCTTCCAGGCAACTCGTGGCGGAAAAGCGTGAGCAAGGCCTAGCAGGAGGAGCGCAGACAGGCGCACGTAACCCCCTTTCAGCAAAGTACGGACAGCGAGCAAGCAATCATCGAACGGAATGAGATGTGCCGTTCATCCGCCGAGACGTGGCTCGATTCAAGCGAGGGAGGTTCACGCCTCGCCGTGTTGCTGTTCTTGGTAGGTTGAGAGCAGAATTGCGCTCCGCCAAGCTCAAGCTTTCATAGAGTTCACTGTCTCGTAGCTTTTCTCGGAGACAGGCAGACCCCGCGCGCGAGTGGCCACGATGATCACGAGGACCCACGAGACGACCGCGACAATGGATCACGACTGAGAATCCTTGGTCGCACGCACACAGCGATGCAGGCACGCACGTCGATCTCAATGAAAGCCGCGCATTCATGCGTGCCTGTCTGTCACGAAGTGACGCCTCCCGTATTTGTGGCTGCTGGCTCTAGTAGCGTTGCTTGTTGGCGCCCTCAGCCGCCGTGCCTTGACTCTCGCCGCCGGCCCGCGTGCTGCACGCGTAGATGCTCGTCGCACACTCGCTTGCCAAGCTCCTCCGCCCAGCTCGCCCCTGTGCTGAGCCGCCCGCCTCTCCTTTTCGGTCGAAGCCTTCTATGCTGCTTGCTGCACACTAAGCGGATGGGCAAGTGACGCTCGCGGCGGATTAGCGACGACAGACGGCAAGAGACAAACAGGACGGACGCGGAAAAATAGCAGCCAATCTGCCAACCCCCGAGGTCAGCTAGCGCCCACCTCGCTCACTCACCACGCACCGCCTGCTTCCAAGACGGGAACGCAGGCAATGCAACTGAAGCTCAGGCTCACTTAGCCGCCGCCGCCGCTTGCCGTCGTCGATGACCCTGGCCTTGTCTTGTCTATCGGGGAGCAAATGGCCGCCAAGGGCAGACGGCTCAATGGGACTGACGCTCTGCCTCCTCCCGGTGCTCCTCGCTCAGCTCCGTCCGTTGACCAACGCTAGTCGGTGTCACTCGATCAAGCCTCAGCTTCCCTCTCTCTCTCTCTCTCGCTCGCTCGCTCCTCATTCTCTACGCTGGTTCGTTTCTCCTCCCGCTCGTTCCTCTCGTTCCTCATCAACACACCATTAACGTCGTGCCGGCCCAGCGGAGATCCTCGTCCTCCCGTCGTCGTCGCCGTTCACGCCTACTAGTCTTGTCCGCGAACCTGAGCTGGCTCTGCGTTCGTCGGACGTTGTTGTCACCACCATCACCACTCGCTGCAGTCTCGGACACAAACACATCTCGGGGGTCTTCTTGTATCCAGACTCGATACGCTCCCGCCCAGTTTCATGCGCTCAAGGTCTCGAGCGTAAGGGTATCAATCTGCTTCCCCTGTCTCCATCTCCTCCTCCTCCTCTTTTCCTCGCTACCAACTCGCCCTCCTATCATCGGGGTTAACGCTTGGCAATCAAACTCCTCTATCCGCCCCTCACCAACACCACCGCCTCCTCTCTACCTCGCCCCTGTCTACCACGCCAAGCGACCTCATTGGATAGAGACATCCTCATCCTCGATCCTCCCCACTCTCCCTCATCACCTCACAACCGCATCTCGTCATGGCTAGCTGTTCATACTCGCGCGCGTCGTCATCACGGCGGCGCAGCAAGTCAAAGCGCCCCTCGAAGCTGGCCCTCTTCTGCGCATCCCTCGCAGCACTCGCCGGCGCAGCAGAGTCGCAATTCACAGCCACCGTCTCCAAGGATGCCGCCAGCGTCTCGACGCTTTCCAACGTCCTCTCACCGTCGTTCATCGGCATGGGGTTCGAGCCGTCAAATCTCGCAGCATTCGTCGGGGCTAGGCAGACCAATCAGCTCACCATGCAGCTCCTCAACAATTTGGCCAACTATACAGGTCAGCCCCCTCATTTGCGAGTCGGGGGCAATACGGGCGACACGGCTGTGTACGACCCGAATCACAAGTCGCCCTACTTTGATCCGAATCCTGGCATGACGGGAGTCACAGACGCCCTCATCTTCGGGCCTGCCTACTTTCAGCAGATTGTGAGTGCGCGTGCGTGATGTATGCGCGGATATGATCATCGCTGACTTTCTTGCCCTGGTACTCGCGCCCCCCGCAGAACTCGTTCCCCAAGGGTACGCCCATCACATTCTCTGTCCCCATGGCATACAATGGCTCAGACGCCGTGCAGCAATCCGTCGAGATCGCCCAAGCCGCCATGGACGCCTTTACCAACGTCAAGCTGTACAACCTCGAAGTAGGCAATGAGCCCGACCTCTACATCACCAACAACTTCCGGCCTTCTTCGTGGACCGCCTACGATGCTGGCAACGAGTGGATCGCCCACGTCAAGGCCATCTGGGAGAATGTCCTCAAGCCAAAGGGCATCTCTCAGGCCTTCTTCGAGGCTGCCTGCACGGCCACGACTGCAGCCAACCCTAGCTACCGAATTGACAACCTCGTCAAGACGGGCGTAGCGACAGACAATGGCGTGTGGCTGAGCGGGTGGAACCAGCACGACTACTACTACTACGTCAACGTCTCGAGCTACCAGCTCACCTTGGAGCGCCTCATGGACATCCAGTCGACGGCTGGTCAGTTCAAGGAGTGGAGGCAGCAGATTGCTCAGGCCAGAGTCACGGGCAAACCCTACTACCTGCGAGAGATGGGCGCGGTGGGGCCTGCGGGTATCAAGGGCATCACCGACACCTTTGGCGGTGCTCTTTGGACGCTAAACTTTTTCCTCTATGCTGCGTCCATCGGCGTCGACTCGATTCAGCTGCACGCGCTGCAGGACTCGTACACATCGCCGTGGCAGCCAATCCCGGACGCAGACGGCAATGGTCCCTTCATCCGACCATCGTACTACGCCTTTGCTGCGATGGCACAGATCAATGGCGCAGGATGCCAGACGCAGGTCGGCTCCATCGATCTGAGCAACGCTCCTTCGGGCTACGATCGCAACGTCGCAGCATACGGCGTCTACAATGCGGGGAACATCCAGTCCATTGTCATTATGAACAACAAACCGGCATACTCCGGCAGCGGTATCCCCACGCAGCAGGTCACCTTGACCATGCCCGACCTCGCTGGCAAGACCTTCTACCTCTCCACGCTCACGGCGGCCGGGGCGGAGGTGACTTCGAACGTCACCTGGAACGGCATCAGCTACGAACAATCTGGGAGCGGCCAGCCATCGGTAGTCAGCCGCGCAAAGCAGTCCATTCAAGTTGGAGCAGACGGCACCTTGACGATCCCCGTCCGCGACACTTCAGCCGTCGTAGCCAACCTCGACGAAGTGCTGGGCACGACGAACAACGTCGTTGACACAAAGGCGTGCACCAAGCAGGCCAACACGGTCCCTTCCAAGTCGAAGCCCAGCGGCTTCAAGTCCACGTCTGGCTTCGCTAAATTCATGGCCCTCCCCAAGGCGGCCATCATCGGCATCGCAGCTGGGGGGGGAGTCTTCATCCTCGCCCTACTCGGCCTCAGCATCTTCTGCTGCGTGCGCTGCTGCAAACGAAGACGCCAGCGCAAGTCTCTGTCAGAGAAGATGGACAACGCCTATGGAAGTGGGTTGGTGCGCCGTCCAGCCGGCGGTTCCATCTCCGCAGGTCCAAAGACGACGCTGGGTGGATACTACAAGTCTGTCGGGCCTGACGGAAGCGAGACGCCCGACGATGTCAGCCTGCTGCCCATGCGTGGCAAGGACAAGGGCTTCGGTGACTCATCGACTGCGCTGAACAGTGGGGCTAATACGCCTTATGGTGCGCGTCCCTACTACAACAACAGCAATGCCAGCTTGGCAGGCACGCCGCTCCTCAACGCGCAGTCGCCTCGCTGGCCGGACTCGCCCTCGATGGGCTCCTTCAACCAGCATCTGGCCGCGAGCCCTGGAGACTACGCGTATAGCCCCTCGCCCCAGCAATGGGGCGGAGCAGCAGCAGCGACGGCAGGGATGACAGCAATGATGCCGCACGGTAGCTCTCGTCTGAGCAACGATGCCTCGCGTCAGCCGCGCTCGCGTACGACAAGCAACAATGCGCAGGGGCAGGCGCACGCGACTGCGCAGTACTCGATGCCGCCAAATGGTCAAGGGCGGGCACGTCGAAACAGCTGGCAAGACGGGGGCAGGCCGCACGGCGGATCGTCGTCAAGGAGTAATTCGCGCGACCCGCCTCGTGCGCCCAAGGCTGCTTCTAGCCAAGGACACGGCTACCGTACACCATCGCAGGACACGAGGAACGCGCCGCCCGTGCCCGTCGTACCGCAGAACTACCGTAATAGCGCGGGAAGCTCGACGTCCGGGCACCAAGAGCAGCAGCAGCCGAGATCACCGCAGCGTCTTCCGCCTCAACAGCAGCAGCAACAGCAGCAACAGCATTACCAGCATTACCGCGAGCAGCAGCAGCAATATCAGAGGTCACCGCAGCGCCAACCGCAGCCGCACCAGCAAGGCCGCGCAGTAGCCCCTGAGCAGCAGTCGAGTCGCTCTGATGCTGACTTAGATCGGCAAGTGACGGCCGCTACGAGCTCGCAGCACCATCGTCAGCAGCCCACCGCTTCGGCTTCTGCCACGTCGACGCGCGAGCTGCAGAGACAGGCGGCAGCGCAGCGTCAACCAGCGGCGCGCGAGTCGAATCAGTACTCGATGCCCAGCTCGCTCGCTTACCTGAATGAGGGTGCGCAAAGCACCGTCGGCGGCGGTGGCGGCGGCGCGTACCACGGCGGGCACCGGCAGCAGCAGCAGCAGCAGCAGCAGTACCAGCAGCAGTACCAGCAACAATACCAACAGCAGCAGCAGCAATACGACCCGCTCGGCTTCCAGTACGAGTACAGCGACAACCGTTTCGATGGCGGCAACTACAGCAGGCAATATCGCTAGAAGATAACTGAGGACAAAGCAGGCCGGTCCCGCACCTACTCTACACATTTTGCCAAATACGCAAGAACACTCACTCAGTCTCAATCCTGTGCCCTCTCCTAACTCGCCCTCTCGGACAGTATCTCCACCCTCGAGCAGCAGCCCCATATCATCTCCGTCACTATCCAATCGCCGGCTCTCGTCTCGTCTCTACTGTAGTAAACTCTCTTCTCTTTCTCCTCCCTTGCTCTAGGACACCGCCACCACTTGTTCTCATCTCGTCTAGTCTCGCCGTCTCCTCGTTCCTATACCTCTCGCACGCTGCATCTGGATAGCGCACGCACCACAATCTGGGCTTGCATTGGATCGGTACGCCTACGCCCTCTTTCTTTTTGTCCACTGTCTTTGTGCCTGGAATTCGAATACATGAGAAGACGACGTGCGTGGATCCGGGTGACGATTTGTTTGTCTTTCGATGATGTAAAGTACAGGAGTGATGCTATCGACGAGATGCTCTTTGCTTTTGTTTCTTTAGGGTCCCCTTCAATGTCGCACCCCATTGAAGATGGCCACGGCGGTCGCCAGCACACGTCCGTACTCTACGGCGCCGCCGCCATTAATCCCTGCTCCCATTCCCACTCCACCGCCCTCGACAGTCTGCCAGGCCTCCCTCAAATCGTCGCTCGTGATCGCCCTCCGCCTCTTCCATCCGACGGTAACCTTCTGCCTCTCCAGCTTAACCGCCTGCGCCAACCTCCTCTCCGCCGCCACAAGAAGTGGCCACAAATCGCGATGACGCAGAAAGACATCTGCGAATGCGTCCCACATCTGGATGGCCGCACTCCCCCCGACCGGCCACGCATTCGTACCCGCGCCCGCGCCCGCGCCAGCATTGCCACTGGGGTTGAACTCGGGCTGACGTTGACACTGCTGCATAACCAGCGCAACCACGTCGCACAGAATGGCCATTTCCTGCACATCTCGATTCCTGAGGCGGTGCTTGTGTGCATTCTGCTGCAAGCGTCGGATCGCCGCGCGATACTCTCCAAGGTCAGCGCCGAGCTGGAGCTGGAAGGGTTGGTGTCGCTGTTGCTGTTGCTGCGGAGGGGCGAGAGCGTTGGGCTGTGAGTGTGAGGGGGCAGAGTGTTGCCTCATGTGACCCTTTGCCCTTAGACTCGGGGAGGTGTGGGCTGAAGAGGAGGATTGGGACTGCGGAGTGCGTGGGAAGGGAGGGGAGCCAGCATGGCTTGGACTGGAGGCCGAGCCTGAGCCGTCACCGGGGCTCTCTCCACTGCTAGACTCATCGACGCTCCCGTTGTTGCCCCTCAGGTCATTCTCGCCAGCCAGGATCCCGCGAACACGCCTCCCCAGCGCGTGAGGGTGGCGCGTCTCGTGAAAGGCGGTGCGGAGGGCTTCCACGACGGATGAGACTGCGATGCGTTGCTCGCGAACTCTGCCTTGGTATGCGATGACTTTGGGCGGGGAGCGGATCGCCTTGCTCGCCGGAGCACGAGAGGCGCCCGAGGTGGAGGGCGTAGGGGGCATCGGGTCGTAGGAAGCGAAGAAGCCACTTTGTGGGGCGATGTGCGGTTCGCTTGTCATGGTGCCGGCGTTGGCATTGAGCGGCGCAGACGACGGGCCGGGTGCGGCGCTCATTTGCGACCATGCTGGAAGCAACAGGGAGGAGGGCTGCGAGTGGTCGACCATGACTGGCGCCGCCGTGGGCGCTGGCGCGGGCGCAGGTGCAGCTACGCTTGTGGCAGGCATAGAGGAGGTCGTTGCGATCAATTCTGCCAGTTGAGCCCGAGCCTGAGAACGCGCTTGCCCGTCTCCCTGCCAATTCCAAGGAAATGCTTGCGTATCCGTAGGTAGCGCAAATGCGTCAGGCGAGAGCAAGGGCATTGAGTGAGAGAGGGTGAGGCCGTACGCCGGCGTCGTTGGCAGCGACTGCGCCACGGGTTGGTCCCAAGGGAAGGATTGCGGTGAGAGGCCGGGGAAAGAGGTCGATTGCGATTCTGGTGGAAGGGGCGATGTGAGGCATCCAAGAGAGATGGCGTCGCGTCGCGAGCGTATGGGCGCCATCGTTGGCGGCGCCGACACTGGTACCATGTACTGGTTGAGCTCGCTGAGGTCGAAGCTCAGTGGTGGCGGTGTATTGCTGTCCATCGCGGCATGGGCCTCACGTCATGCGATGGGCGCTGATGGTGAGCGAGAGAGAGAGAGAGTAGGTCAGGAAGGTGGGCGAGGTCGCGGGGGGATTGCGCGGGGATAGACTCGACCAGATAAAAGGTGCGAGCTTCGATTCGAGACGTTCGAGACGGGGCCTCAAGGTAAGACACGGCTCGGGCGATTAGACCTGCGACGCAATCACGCCCGCACCCGCTAACTTCCTTAGGGGCGGCGGGGGGGGGGGAGGAGGGGCGCTGACCATCAGCAACTCATCGCCCTCGCATTCGACTTGGCGCAGTCCCGACGCAGGAGCATCTGTCGGTGGCAAGCTGCAGTCTGTCTGTCTGTCTGCCCTGACCTGCGCCGCTCGCGCCGCCCTTTGCTGAAGTGGGCGGCTCGAGCTCTAATCAAGTCACCAGACAACTTCTTTTTTCACATCCTGTCAAAGCTGCCGATGGGCCTGTGTCAGCTTCGGTGTCAGACTCGCCTTACCGTGCCCTTTGCGCCTCGACGACGTAAGATGAGAGATGGGAATCCCCTCTATCTTGGTCGACGTGAGAATACGCACGAGCGCTCCTCGACACAAAGAGAAGGCGGAAAATCGAGAGTCGAGAGACAGGGCACACGGCAGGTGGCAGGGGGCAGCTGCCGCGCGGGATCGAAATTGAGACGCCTCCTTCCCTTCATATCCATCTCCGCCGCGCCACGCTTAAACGAGGCACCACTCAGCGGCAGCCAAGCAAGCAGACCCAAATCGGCATCCGCCAGCGCAGTGCGCAGCCGTGGGTCTGGTCTGGTCTGGTCTGGTCTAGCCTCGAGATGTGTGGCCCCCCTTGTCCTCGGTTTTTGCGGTCGAAGGTCCCAGACTCGGTACCACGATGACGGGACTCAACACTAGTGTACCCGAGAACGACGAACAGCGTGATCGATCGTTCGTCCGTTCGTCCTCACCTCTTCGTCACGCTCTCACAGTGCGCGCGGAAATTGATCGATGATCGAGATTACCGCCGCGCACGGCCGTTCGACCCTGGCAACGAAACGGACAAACAGAGAGTTGTCTTTAGCCGAAGAATACGATGCGAAGTCGGTGGGGATTCCTCGCTCTTGTCACTAATCATCGAAAGACTAAGAGAAAGGGCCCGAGACACGCACGTACGAGAGCAATGCCTGGACTGGCGGTGGTCAACACCGTCAGGCTGCGTAAGAGTACAGAGGGGGGGGGGGGAGAACAAAAAGAAAAGAAACAAAGCACGGCGGAGTCAGTCAGTCAGTCTGCGTCTGTGCCGCGTGCTTCGCCTCGGCCTCCGCTACACACACACACGCACACACGCACGCACACAAAGGCCCGATTCATCCGACCGACTCCGCCTGCTTCGCTGCATACGAGAGTGAGAGATAAGTGGCCGGCGACGATGATTCTGTGAGCGATACAAGGTCCGTTCGAGAGTCGATCCGCGGACAAAGCCGGGGGGGCGGGGCTTGCTGAATATAGATGAATTGTCACGTATGGTGCACGGTCTCCGGGTCACGAGGGCAGGGGCGTCAAGGCAATCGCGGCTACGCTACTACGATACGATGCGGCGCGATGCAATGCGGGGAAGAGACGGCGGGGTCCGGCGGGGTGCGCTTCAAGGTTTGTTTCTCCATCTCGCGATCTCGCAAGAGATTCAACCGTACGTGAAGGTGCACCGCAGAGAAGCTCTCCCTTGGTTTGGTTCCGTTTCATTTCGTTTCTTGCGTCACCGCTACCCAATATCGTTGCGGAGACGCGCGCCCGCGTGCCGGCACTCTGGACCACGGCAACGGTTCACTAAATCTAAGTGGTATTGTTTGGCATGCTATCCCCATCCCTCACCGCTTCACCCGCCGGCTTGCGCCATGAACCCCTCGGAATCTCCATCTGCTAAACTCAAATTCGCCTGCGTGCGCGCTCCTACCACTCCAATCTATCATCGCATACAAGTTTGACCTCCTTTGGCCCCTCGCAGCCGGCAACGGCATCGCGCAGATCGTTGAGCATCCCCGCCGGTCCACTACCGTAGACGCGCGTCGGTCGGCTCGTAGACGTCACGGATGAGACGAGGGAGGCGAGGTCGGGACGGCCCTCTGCGCGAGAGGCGGAAGATGATGATGACGCTGACGCCGAGCCCTTCTCTACGGCATCGGCGGCATGGTCGTCTCGTGTGACGAAGAGCTTGACCTCGACGCGCTTGCTGTCTCGCAGCGCCTGGACCTCCCCCTCGAGCCAACGGGCATCGCTGCGATGTCTGACGACCCACACGAGAACGAGTCGCCTCCCATCCTCAGCGTCATGAGCGAGGTGATGAAGCAGCACAGGCAGCACGAATGTGATGCCCGTACCGCCCGCAACGCAGAGCACATCGTGTTCCCCATTGCCGTCATCCTCAACGACGCTCTGCCCGTACGGCCCGCTAAGAATAACCGCCACGCGCTCATCCTTAATCACCTTACCTCGCTCGTCCTTCTCTCCCACCCTCCCCTTTCTCCCCCTCACCAACGAGGCAACCTTCTTCGTCTCCCCCCGCTTAGCCCTGAAGACGTAGCTTTGCGAGCCCGAGCCCGCCTCCGTGTACGGCTGGCAGACGGGCGTGAAAGGGTGTGACTGCCAAAGTGAGCATTCCGGGAAAGTGAGAAAGAAGTGTTGACCAGGCAACCAGGCTGCTGCTGGGTTGGAGTGATGCAAGTCTAGACGGACAATAGCGCTGTCGACTTCGTTTTCGAATATGCGAGCATGGGCCTTGAAGGTGGAAAAGCCGAACGTGGGGGGTGTGACCAATCCCTTCTCGCCCGACGCCGCGTCGCGGTGGTAGTAATGAATCATCCCCGTTCTCACCAGCCTGACAGCCCGGTCGAGCAGCCAGAGGACGAGGGACGGGATGAGGAAACATTCCAGCTGTTTCCAGTGGCCCCAGCAGCCGCCGATGAAGAGCATAGCGAGGAGATAGTGCGCCTTTCGAAATACCTCGTATCCCGTGCGTCTAATCACAAAGGGGAGGGCGGACACCCACAGCACCAGAAGCAGGCCCATTGCCACGAGCCCGTAGATGATGTACTTCTGCTTGACCCAAGCAGAACCGACGCTCGGTTGCGGTTGGTAGAGGCGTAGCTCGACGATACACCATCCGATGGTATGGAGGAGGGATTGGGCGAAAATGACGTGACCAAGCCAACGGTGCAGAAAGTTGAAGTGCTGATAGGGCACCCCTGTCACCAAGCTCAACACGCTTTCCCTGCTGGCGAGCAAAATACTAAAGGGCAGCAGAGCGAATGCCAACACGCCAAGTCGATCGCTCCATGGCCCGAGGCTGGAGCGCGTCTGATAGAGGCCCGGCTGTGCCTTTACGGGTGTTGTCCAGGTTTTGTAGGTGATGCCGAGGAATGTGAAGAGGGTGAGGTACCCGAGCAGGACGGCTAGGATGAGGAGCTGGAGGCGGGAAGCGTTGCCGAATATCGAAGGAAGAGGATTACGTTGCAGGAGGTGACGACGGGTGAAGGTGATGAGGGGAGATAGGAGGGGACGGCGTTGCGATGGTATGGGCCGCGTGCCATCCTCATCATCCGCTAGCCGGCCGTACGCTGGCCCTCCTGTGCTACTCCGGCTGCTCTGCCTCCATACCGCCCAGAGAAGTAGCACACCCGCTATGCTGGCCCAGAGGATCCCGACGTACAACATCCCGACATCATGGGCATGATACACGACATCGAGGTACTCGCAGCTACCCGCGTCATTCTTGCAGGGTAAGGCGCGCATCGCGTATCCCCAGTGTGGCTCGAGGGTCGCGGCATCGCTAAAGTTTTGAATGTGGCGAGGGTTGAGGGCCGCTAGGGACATGGTTGCGACAGTGTGGTGAGATGGGAGATGAGGGAGAGTGAGGGAGAGAGAGAGAGGAAGTTGCCAGCTGACTGTTATCGCTGACTTTTGAGTGTGACAAACAAGCGCCGCCGCCGCTGCTGCAATGAAGAGGAGGCGGGGGGTCCTTCGGCGCCTTTTCTCGGGTTGTATCCGATGAACCTGCCTGCTAAGTGTAGGAAGTCATGCGAACCAGATTTCGATCTCGAGAGGGGGAGCAGGCGTCTGTGTGTGGGATGAACGAAGCGAATGAAAGCGCGAATAGAGAGGCGCAGGCGCAGGTGCGGAGCCTTTTCTCGAGGTGGGTTTGGCGCGCCGGGCGACCTCCGTGAGGAACACGCCGAAGCCGCCCTAGCGCCGCCCTGGCGCTGCGCTGGTCTGCGAGCGTGTCGCTTCCTTCACTCGGAGCCTTTTTCGTCTCTGCGAGCGAGGCGGTCAGACCGACAACATCGATCGGGCCAAAGCGGCGGGCAGAGGGCGGGCGGGTGTCCAGACACGACACGATGAGAGGAGGCGTAGAGAGATAGTTGAGCGGTGAGATCTGGTATTGAGAAGGGCCCTCCGAATCTACTCTACTCTCGATCGATGACAAGAACAACAGAAATTGGGCGGCTCCCACGCCCCTCACCCACAACAAACAGTCAACTCATCCTTTCCCAGCGTACCCTTTGCGCTCTGCACCATCTCTGCCTCCCCCCCAACCGTAATACGCACCACCATCCAATCACAAAGGAATTTGCCCACCCCGCTCCCAATGATTATACTGAGGATAATGTACCCGTTGAAGTACATGGCGAGGAGCATGATAATGTAGGCCAAGCCGAAGGTGACGGCGTGGAGTAGGGCGCGGATCAGTTGCTGCAGTGGAGTGACACGGTAGGTGTAGGTGCGAGACGATTGGCCAGGATGACCCTCGGCGTCGTGCTGCTGCTGTTGCGTCGCAGGGGTAGTGGAGCTAGATGATGGCGTTTGCTGCGAGCAAGAAGGTACAGCACAACAGTCCGCATTCCCTGCCAAAGTCTGGATAGCTTCACGACTAGAATTGGAGCCGTTAGACTTGATGGAGCTGCCACTGCTCTCGACCGTCTGTCTCGGTCGCCCATTCTTCCAGATCGCGGCCGACGGAGCTCGGGCGACAGCGGCAGCAGCTTGGTACTGGCGCGAGATGAGCTCGTCGTACTCCCTTCCCAGTCGGCGAAAGAGCTCCAGACAGACGGCGAGGAGGGCCACACCTATGCATGAGGCGGCAAATGCCCCGCGGGTGGTGACGTGCCAGGACGAGGCGAGGAAGCCTGCGCATGCCGTGAGAGCGAGACGGGATGATCAGCGAGAGGGACGTGATGATGAGCATTAGGATGCGTCGTCTCACAAGCATCGATGGTGTACCAATTCCAGAGCATCTACGAGCGGAGGAGAACGGTCAGCTCAAGCCTTCCCTGCCTCTGCGTTGCTTCTGGCACGTTGAGATACCCACCGACACCTTACAGTCCCCGCTCCCCATGTGCATACCGTGTCCCATGTCCATATTCAACGACTAGTGTGAAGGCAGAAGTGGTGGTGGTGGTGGTGGTGGTGGTGGTGGTGATGATGACAGAGGTCAAGGATAGAGATGGTCAAGCCCTCTGTCTCTTAATCTCGACATCTCAAGTCTCGAACCCCGCCCACCCGAGAAAGTCTCCGAGGCGCCCCCAAAATGGCCACGTGGCATTCGTTGGCCGGGAACGCGAAGGGTCCGAGCGAGCGCTCCAAGCTGCATTGAAGCGAGAGCGGCGAGGAAAGGCCACGAGGGCCATGGGATTTGTGCGAGGCGAAGTTGAAGGGGGGACGAAAAGGCTACGAGAATGCTGCCGACTGAACGCAGCAGAGGGGGGTCCAGAAAGGCTCCGTGAGTACTGAGAGGTGCCGCCAAGCCGTGAAAAGGCACCGTTTCCAAGGGGGAAGGCCCCGAGGCGCCACGGTTGCGGTGCGCTGACTGCTCGATGCTCAATTGCCCTTCGTTGTCCAAGAAGGTTCCGTCATGGCGAGTTTTATCTACATTACATTCGTCGTCGCGAGTCGTTTCTAGCGGAATCCTGGTATCATCTCACTCCCCCTTGCCTTCACCCTTCGAATCCTCATCCCCAAACAATCTCCCCCTCACCTCACCCCAAGTCGGGGCTCCCTTCCCATTCCCCCTCTCTCCCTCCTCTCCATCTCCACCTCCATCTATCCCGCCCCCGTCGTCATCACATATCGCGCTAGTGGCCAAGACGAAATCAGCAAAAGCCTCAGAGCTCCAATACCCGGCGTGGGCTTGCAACATCTGCACGTACTCGAGCATGGCTGCGGGCACCAGCAGAGAGGGGGCAGGTTTTGGCAGGATGTACTGTTGGCGTCGGCGTGGGTGCGGGGAGAAGGTGGGGTGGGAGGGTCAGCCTCACTCTTCATCTTCGAGGATACAGTCGAGTTGGGAGAAGCGCGCCTGAGGGAGGGAGAGGGGGAGAGATGGAGGATAGAGGGTACTTACATCAATCCGACCAAGCGGGTTCAGAGCGAGAAAACGATCATGCGCCCTCTCTCGTCTAGTTGCGCTCAATTTGTGCTCGTCTTCGTGGTCCTCTCCGGTATCGCGTGCGGTAGTAGCCTTTCCCTCCTCCTCCCTGCCCTCGTCGCGCTCCTTTGCTCGATGTTGCGCAATCGTCTCGGCCTCTTCTTCTTCGACTTCGGGCTTCGTGGCATCATCACCAGCCAACCCGGGCTTGGTCTTGTCCTCCGCCTGCGGTTTGGCGTCTTGCATGGCCTCCTCCATCTCCTCAGCCAGCTGCGCGTCCGCTTCAACAGGTGCCGGTACTGGAGGGGGAGGGTAGGACGTCTTGCCCGCGTGCTCCACCTCTGTTGGATCACTTGGCCCAGGCGTAGCCTCTTCCCCACCCTCGCTACCAGCAGCAGCAGCAGGTTGAGCCTGAGCCGTCGTCGTCGTCGTCGTGCCGGTCAGCTTACTCTGAGCAAACTTGGCAGCCCACTGCTGCGCCTTGAGTGAGGCCGTCGCGGTCGTAACTGCATCTAGACCAAGCCCGTCCTTGCCTTTGCTCAGCAGGCCAGAGGCACCACTCTTGCGCTTCGCCTTCTTGTTGGTGGGCACCTCGCCCAGGTCGGCAGGAGGGGTAGTAGGGCTCGAAGCCCCACTCGCCGCCTTGTCCTGCGCAGCCACGGCAGTACTACTTTCTGTTGTTCTTCCCCAACTCGCAAAAAATCCGCTCGACCCCGATGGCCCTTCTCTTCCTCCTCCTGCTCCCGCCTTCTCCCCCCTGTTCACTCTACTTGACGCCACCGTCTTGGCCCCTTTCAGTCCGCCCAATATGGCCTCCACCACCCTATCCACTTGTACAGGTCCAGCGCGCTCACGGGCGTAGTGACGATCCACGCACCCGTTGAGATGCGTGCCAATCGGGTCCGTGGAGTGGAGTACGTTCCAGATCGAGGAGACGGGGAGAGATCCCCAAGTGGGGCGATCTAGCGAGGAGGAGGAGGAAGAGGAGGGCTTACCCTCCCCCTCATCGGGAGCGTCGTGCCCGCGCCCGCGCCCGTGCCTACGCCGTGCACCTAGCTGTCTCGACTCCAAGTAGAAGAAAAGGGCAGCGGGTGATCCACAAAAGTAGAGATTGCGTACATCGAATGCGAGGTGTTTGCACGTCGTAATCTCTTCCAGCCCGCGCTTACCCTCCCCTACTGTGCTGGGCTGCGCACTAAGCACATCAACGGCAATTGCGCAGCCGAGTGAATGGCAGATAAGGGAGACTTTCCCCCCCTTCTTCTTGGTCGAGGAGGAAGGATTGAAGCCAGGGTTACGCTGTAGGAAAAGGGCATAAGCTCGATTAGTTGCTGCGATGCAGCGTCGGAGGACTTCGGCCTTGTGGTGGGAGAGGTAGAGGGGTATATCCAGGAGTAGGTTCTTGGTGATCTGTCGAGCGAGAGGGATGGAGGAAGGGGGACCAAAGATGTCCTCCAGCTGTGGTGGCTCCCCCTCTTCCTCTTCTTCCTCACCCTCGCCTTCTTGCCCACCGCCGCCGCGTCTCCCCGGCTTGAAATCATTCAACGTCGTCCTCCAATCAATGGGCACGAGGACTAATCTCTTCCCCCTCGTCAACTTAGCCATGCCTTCCCCACCTACATGGGCTGGAGGAGGCGCGTGTGCACGTTTGCGCAGAAGAGACTTGAAGGAATTGACCGCGAGGCTAAACTCGAGGGACTTCCATTCCTCGGCCAACTTCTGGCCTATGCCGTGCCAGCAGAAGACGAGCTCCACTTCCTCGCTCTCGGCCTCGCGTTCCAAGGCTAGCTCGTGGGCTTCCTCGTCGTCCGAATCGTCGGAGGTTACGTCCACCTCGGAGTCGCGGTCGGCAGGGGGAAGGTCTTGCGTATGCCGCTGAGCCTCTTTGAACGAAGCGGCTACGGCGTCTTGTTGGGCCTTGGTGGTGGAGGACCACGAGTTGAACTTGGAGGTGAGGGACGTCCAGATGTCCGTCGATGACTGCTGGGTATCGGAGCTCTCCCGTCCCGCCTTGGCCGCCGCCCCCTCATCTGTCTCCGTCTTCTCTCCCTGCTGCTGCTGCTCACCCCCCTCGAGCGCCTTGCTCCCCTTGACAGGCGTCGAAGTCTGAGAAGCCTCTCCCGTCCCTGCCCCTCCTCGGTTGTGCTTCCCCTTTTGCTTCTTCCCACTTCCACCACTACTCACATCCCCCCTCCTAGCCTTGAGCAACTTCTGTACCTGATCATACCCTCGCACAACGACTGTCCCACCACCGTGCTCCCCCGCCCATGCGGTGAGCAACGTCTTGGCGAGGCGGGTAGACATGCCCTCGGTATAGATGCGGGCCAAGTGCGAGCCGGAGAAGATGACATAGCTGCTCTTGAGGGTGGTGAGGCGACAGATGAGCTTCTCCTGCGTATGACACCACAGCAGTCGCGGTGGGGGGTGAGTTCGCCTGTCAGCATTGAAGCGGCGCAGAGTAGCATACATCCAGCTCCTCTACTTGAGCTCGCACACTCACCTCGCCCTCTGCCCCAATACTGGCGCTAGCCTTCAACTCATCCGCATACGCGCTCGTCCAAGGCCCTATCTTGGCGTAATGCTCCTCTAGCTCCCTAGACAGTTCGGCGGGGCAAGGTGCCAACCTACTGGACTCGAAGAACCATTCGCCCCTCCGTACCTCGACTCGCGGTCCACGCCAGAAGACGGGGTGCATGCCCGGCGTGGTGGGCGAGAAGGAGGAGGAGGAAGAGGAGGGGGGTGAGGAGCGGACGTCTACTTCGAATAATCGATCTTCCCCCACAGGGACGCGCCAGGAGGGAAGTGGTTGAGTAGGATCAGCAGGTGGGAGATCGAAGTGGTTCTGCCCCTCCTTCTCTCCCTTGCCCTCTTGCTCTTGCTCATGCTCAGCCTCTACCTTCCCCTCTCTAACCTCCCCCCTCCATTCCCCCCACCCCTTCTCAATCCTCCCCGAATCCCCCAAACCAAAAGTGGCCCACCCCTTTCCCTTCCCCTCGGCGAACAACCATCGCGGTTTCAAGCGAGGGGCTGCTGCCTGTTCGAGCGTAGGGATCGAGGCGGAACGAAGGAAGGCTTGACGACGGGCGTTGCCTGCCGAGGTGGGGGCTGGGGAAGAGGTGCCGGTGCCCGGGAGTGAGGGCGGGGAAGGGTCCGCATTCCCTGCCGCATCTTTGAGGTTTTCGCTGGTGGCCATGGGTGGGAAAACCCGGGGCGAGAAGAGTGGGGAGGGGGGAAAGGAGGGATTGGTTGATCGTGGACGGGGAGCAATCGAGTTCAGGAGAGGAAAACGTTAAGCGTCAAGCGTGAAGCGTGAAACGCAGTAAAGGCGGCTCAGGGCTCAGCCTCAGGCCTCAGTCCGCCCTGATTGAGGCTCAAAGTGGAGACTAGGGCGGAGAGCCGCGTTGGCTCGCGTTTGGCAACAGCAAAGGCAACGCCGAGCAGCAGGGCATCGATGAGCGAGGCAGAGGGAGCTCTCGATCAAGGAGGCTACGAACAGACGCACGCATAGCATATAGTCAGCTACGAGAAAGCCCCCACCTCTCCCACTCCTCGCTGCAAGTTAGCGGTGAAATAGATGCCATTGAGATTCTCCTCTCCTCCTTCGCCACTCCCCATCTCCCCTCGCTCCTCACCCCTTACACTCCCCACCTACTGTCCCCCCTGACCCTGCATGTTTAGCAATACACTCGACCCCCCATGCGGAAGGTACGTGACGTTCCTACTCTGAGCAAGCTCCTGTGCCACACTCCTAGCCGTCTCGATCCTCCTCAACGTCAACAACCCATCCCCTGCACTACTCAATGCCTTACTAATAAGCGCAGCAGCCTCCGCCTCTCCCTCAGCCCTAACCACTGCAGCTTGACGTTCCTGTTCTGCTTGTTCTACAACAAATCGAGCCCTCTCCGCCTCCTGTTGAGCAATCTGTTTACGCTCTACGGCGCGGGTGAACTCGCTGCCAAAGGTGAGGTGGGTCAAAGCCAGGTCCTCCAAAAGGATACCGAACTCGCTGGCTCGAGCTACGAGTTGAGTACGAATTTGAGATGAGGCCACTTCGCGTGAAGTGATGAGTTCAGAGGCGTCGAATTGAGCTACGACGGATTTGAGGACCTCGTTGGCGATACTGGGGAGAATACCTGGTGTGGGCGACGCGGAGGAGGAGGGGGAAAGGATAGGTGTCAGGTACGCTCAAGACTACATTGCTGAGCAACCTTGCCCTCTCGTGTTCGCTAACTCACGCTCATCATAATCCAACCCATAGTTGCTATAGATCCTAGGCAAAGCCTTCACATCCGGCCTACTCAACACCCTCAACGTGAGGCTGACCTGTTGCAAATCCTTACTTCCCGTCTGCGTAGTGATCGTCCTAGGCCTAACTCGAATATCCATAGGGATGGCTCTCTGAATCCCCGGCATGAGCAAGTGAGTCCCCTCTCCCACAACCGTATCGCGTACTCCGGAGAAACGGTCGAATATGACGACTCGTTTACCACCATCGACGTCGTAGATGGCGGGTTGGAGGGCTACGAAGCCTACACCGAGGGGGACGGCTAGGCGGTTCAGGAGGGAGGGGAGGGCGGACATGATGGTTGCGAAGTGGGGGAGATGAGGTGAGATGAGATGAGATGAGATGAGAGCCGAGGCGAGTGAACATCGCTCAGCCTGTCTCGTTCGCTGACCGAAGCGCCGCCTGTCCGCCTGGAGCCACGTGGCGAGCCGGCAGCCAGAGGCGGGCGAGGCAGCGTGCTCGCTCGTACTCACTGCTTCGCTCAGATGCACTCAGTCAAGCCCTCATGCTTATCATGCGCAGGCATTCGTTCTCACAAATCTGTATCACATTGTCACGCTCGCTACCGCCCCCCATTTTACACCTCACATCCACCTACTGAGCCGCGGCAGCCGCAGCCGTCGGTGCAGTCCTCGCGCCAGCTGCTCCCCACGCAGGCTTCCCCGTGCCCGTCGTACCATTGACCGCGGTCGCTGCTGCTGCTCCTCCAGTCTTGCCTTGCTGCTGCTCAGTCTTGCCCGGCTCGCCCGCCTGCACAGGAGCAGCGATAGGCAGTGCCTTCCCCTGGATACTCCCCAGCACATCCGCCATCCTAACGCTGTTCCTCCTAAACCACTCAGCATAACGTCTCCCAACCCTACTCTCACGAATATGCACCATGCTCCCCTCAATGGCAAAGTCCAAATCGCTCGTGTTGACCACCTCCACCCCGGGACCATCGAGGAGGCTACCCTCCCCACTAGCCCAAACAGGGGAGCGCGTACTGCTCTTGAGCAGCATGAGCGTCTCGGTAAGTTCCTCTTCGTCCACCCCAAGGAACGAAGCGAGCCTATCCGTACCCAATGTGGTGAAGAGGCGCAAAAAGGAGCGAATGTGAGCATTACTCAGCTGAGCACGCGCAGAGGAGAGGAAGAGGCGCAGCTGATGTTGCGCAGGGTCGCCCATGCTGGGCTGGCGCACGTAGGCCTCGAGCTGCTCGGCGTCGTGGTAAGGGGGCGAGTTGGAGGTGATGAACTTTGGGCAGGCATAGAGGAAGAGCTCCTCGAAGGCAGAGAGGGCTTCCGTGCCGCTGGCTTGGTCCGAGGCGGAGGCGGAGGAGGACGATGAGCCAGAGCCAGAGATGGCCCCACCGGCACCCCGCGACATGCGAGCGTACTGCTCGCCGTACTTGTCTCGCATCGTGTTCTGAATGTTCTCGTCCAGGCGCGTGGGGCAGAGAGCGCACGCGATGGCCAGGAGGGCGTACATGCGGTCGACGGTCTTGTTGATCTGGTCGTACTGGTAGGAGCGAGTGTGGTACTGTCGAAGCCGCATGGTGAAGACGAGGATGTGCGTGAAGCTCTTGATGGCGTCGGCGTAGCGGCCTAGCATTAGGTAGGCGAAGCCCACGTAGTAGTAGGCCGTTACGTGGCAGGCAGTCACGCGGTTGATGAGGCCGAGCGACGACGACGAGGAAGACGACTTTTTGCCTAGGTCGAGGTGGTCGAGCATTTGGAGCGCGAGGGTGTAGTCGCCGAGGAGGACGTGCACACGGAGCAGGCCGATGATGGAGAAGTAGCCCTGCGCGAGCGAGTGAGGAGAGGCGGGGAGCGTTGGTCAGTCTGTGGATCAGAGAGGGAGAGACAGGCCTCAGTCCTGCTTGCTGGCTGCGCGCACTCACCAGCATCTTGTAAAGAGGCTTTGACCCAAACTCTCCCGCGACCTCATCCGGATCTCTCCCCTCCTGCATCGCGACGAGCTGCTCGGTGATCCTCGACTTCTGAATGAGCGAGTACAGCACGTTCAAGACGGAGTAGGAGCTCCAAACACCGCCGTCCTGGAGCAATTGCAGCTCATCCTCCGTCTTGCTCCCTGCGCGGTTGCGCCACTGCGAGTAGGACTGGAACTGGTAGATGAACTCGTCGACGATATCCCACAGCCACTGCGGGGGCAGCTCCAAGGCGACTGGACCGTCCGAGTTGAGTACGTGGTTGAAGAAATCACAGTACGAGTCGTACGAGGAGAAGCGATCTTCGCCGTCTGGGGAGAGGCGCGAGTACACGTGACGGAACCAGAGCTCGCGGTAGAGCATGAGGAATTTGGAGTCGTTATTTACGAGGGGTGCCTGGCGTGGAGCGAAAGACGCAAAGGGTAGGGGAAAGTCGTTGTCATCAGCAGACTGCGTACTAGCATATACTCTGCCTTCTCGCCGGGCACGCCCCGCGCACAGGCTACTCACGATAACCTCAGCCTCGGGCCACTCGCTCCTCTGATAGAACTTCTCCGTCAACCTATTCCAGCTCCCCTCATAGGCACTGCTGATCTCCCCAAGATTGTTCCCTTGAACAGCCTGCCAGAAGAGGACGATGTACTTCCTCACCTGCTCAGGCACGGCAGCCAGCGCGGCTGCGGCCTGCTGCTGTTGCTGTTGCTGCTGCGCCTCGTGCAGCTGAGCCTCGTCCGCCGTCGTGCTAGTCGTAGTAGTAGCGGTGTTGGTGGCGGCGGCGGTGGGAAAGTCAGGAATCAAGTCGTCCTCCTCGCCAAAGTCGGAGAGGGAGTCGGAGCCTACTCCTTGACCTGAGTAGTATTGGCGAGACGTGTCGCCTGCTTCACCGCCGTACGGCTGATGAGCGCCGCTGCGCTGCTGCAGCTGCGGGTTGGTCGATGCCATGGTGGGATGGGATGAAATGTCGAGAGGGAGGGAAGGCAATGATTGCGGTTGCTGCGAGCAGCGAGCAGCTCGAACAACGACGGGCGGCCTCGTCGTCTTCTCGCTCCCGCTCTCCGCGCAAGACCACGTGGCAGCACTTCTTCTCGCGCGCGCGGCGGGCAGGCGGGGAGGCCGAGCCACGCACGCACACGAAGGGCCAGGGAGAGGGAGAGCGTCACGGTGGAGCTTGCGAATCGTAGCTGGTCCCAGCAATTGAAACGAGGATGGTGATGCTGAAATGTGTATTGTAAAACAAGTGTACGTGAGATGCGAGATGCGAGATGCGAGATGCGAGATGCGAGTGCGAGAATGTACGACGAGGAGAATATAAGACATATGAAGTGTGCGTGCAAGAGGCGAATGCGAAAAGTCTACCGTCACTACTACTACTACTACTACCACGTCTCACCATCAATCTAACCGGGTATCTAAAAAATCAAACCACGCCCCACCCCCTTTCTCACCCCTCCTCCTCCCGCGCGGCTCACCCATACCTCGCAAGGGCGATCTGCAACCTCTGTCCCCCCATGCCGCACTGCGGTAGAGCCACCCTAGGTGGCAAAGGCGCGGCGGGGGAGAAGACTTGATGTTGATCCTCAAAGTCTGCCCTGGTGGGGAAGACGGGAAAGTACGCACACACGTTGACGTGTCCTCCGCCTGGGGTGCGCACGCCGGATTCACCAACGCCGCCGTAATGCGGGGAAGCGTAGTGGTGGTGGCGCTGGTGGTGGTGGTGGAGGCGGGAAGCAGCGTTGTCCCCCTCCTCATCCTCCTCCTCATCGCTGGACTCGTCCCCATCCATACTGCGATGCGAAGCCTGACGCCTATAGCGCCTCGGCGGGGGTGGGGCGAGTTTGAACCCCCTCATCACCTGCGGAACAGCGTCCGCCGAATTGCTCCTCGCGGCAGCCGCCATCTTACGGCGTTCACGACGATAGTCCTCGTACAGCCGCTGTAGGGAGAGCTGATAGTCCTCGTCCTCCGTACTGCGATTCGCTGCAGGGTCAGAACAGCGACGCGGCCCATACGGCTGCTGCTGCTGCGCGGCATAGTTGTCGTCTGCGTACGAGGCTGTCATCGCCGCCTCGCGTCTTGCCTGCTTGACCAGGGCGCGTGCCTTTGCTTGGTCAACTATATTGCTGCAACGCGCGCACACACGCTCGCGGACGACGTAGCGCCCGTCGGCTAGGATGGTCATGCGGGAGGAGACGGCGTCGGTGGTAGTGGAGGACGAGGACGACGACGAGGAGAAGCGCGAGGAAGGGCCAGCCATGGCTGCCGCGAGGGCTGCGGCTACGTTTTGCTTGCGGGGCAGGGAGAGGGAAACCGAGGGGGGACGATCCATGTCGTCCATGCTGTGGTGCAGTGAGGCAGAGGGGAACGCTCCGTCGTGGCTGCTCATCTCTGGGCTTGTGGTGCCGGTTCGAGCAACCCCGTGGTGACGGAGGGACTCGGCGAGGTTGCTGCTCCCGGACAGGTTGGATGAGCCCGCCGATCCTGCCGAGTCGATGGAGCCTACAGCGCTGCTCGCGGGGGCGGGGCCGGTGCGGCCGACATTGTTGCTGGCCTTGGCCGCCTCGCTTGCGAGGTACTGGGAGAGGCAGGCGGAGGCTGAGCGCACGACTGGCGTGGGTGCAAGGGTAGGCTCTTGCACAGCTGCCGCCGTGGCGTAGTCTGGCTCCTCGCCGGCCTGAGGAGGCGTTGGCGCCGGCGCATCCTCACTATCGAGGATCAACGTCGCGAACTCCTTGCTGTGTTCGTTACAGAAACAGTTTCCACACCTCCAGCAGTGATTGCGCCTATTGATCTTGATGCTGCCCCACAACGCCGAGGTCGTCCCGCCGCCGCTGCTCTCACTACTCTTTGCCGTCGAGGCTCCCGATGGCAGACGATACCCGGCGAGGAAAGCACCAAACTCCTTTTGGCACGACCCACTCCCCAAGAAGAGGTGGTCGCACGACGTCGAATCGCTCTCCGGTTTCCAGAGGGAGCGGGGCATCGTCGTAGCGACTCGCCGCCAGCGAGAGGCAGAGCCGCGCGTCATGGAGCGGACATCCTCCATGAGCTTCGAGAGCTCGTCGACGTTGTCCACCGACGTGGTGCGGGAGCGCTGCCCGTGGCCGTGGCCGTGCCAGGAGGGCGTGGCGCCCGAAGAGGAGGCGGCGGAGGAGCGTGATGGACCGGCTGGGCGGGGAGAGAAGTAGTCGCTTGCTTCTGCGTCGAAGCGTTGCGCGGGGGAGGAGGGACGAAGATACCCCATTAAGGCTCGCGAGGCTGTTTGCGGTTGAGGCTTGGAGAATTCAGCCACTACGAGGGTGTGTGAGCGTGATGCGGGTGGTTAGTAAGACGAGGCGAGGTACGCACAGCATGCTCTACTCACTAACTCCATGGCAGGGCATGGCAAAGTCGGTCATGGCGGCGGTGGTGGTGAAGAGGACAGAAAGTCTACGGCGGTGTACGCAGGGTAGCGGGTCGAGGCCACTTTGGCTCCGGTCGAAGATGTGCGAGGACCCGTCCACCGGGATCGAATTGCGGGCGCGGGTGCGGGTGCGGGCGCTACGCGGTGGTTGATTGAAAGCGGGTGCAGAGAAAAGATCTCCGATATTTGAGTGAGATCGATGGCTGACCGTTGGTTCCGTGCAACGTCTAGGCAGATGCCATTGAACGAAAGCGTGGAGATGGTGATGGTGGAGAAGAGAGAGAGATGAGGACGAACCTTGCCACGACCTTGACTTGGGGTTGCTCAGCAATAACAGCCTTCAGGCCTATGAAGCATCGTCGCGCATCGTCCAGCGTAGCCTTATTTCAAAGGGCACCTCTGCGTGAGCCGCCAGAGACAGAGTAGCCGGAGGATTGTCCTCGGGAAAGCCGGGCGCTGTTCCAAAGGGCAGGGCGGTCGGCGCGGCGACGACGACAATAATGACAGGGCCGAGGCGGAGTGTCTGGACTGCACTCTCACGCACGCAGCTCGCGCACGCATAGAGCTCACTACTCGTTCAGGCACCTGCCTGAGGCCTGCCCACAGCCGGCGCCCTACCGCGCCACCGGCAATATTAGCATGCGTGTGCTTGTGCGTGTGCGTGTGCGTCTGCAGACACCGAGCAGCACCAGGAGCCATGACAGGCCGACTGACGGCGGACAACCGCGAGACGCAAAAAGACTGACCGAGATGGACAAGGACAGGACAGGACATGTTCCGGTCATGGATTGCTCAATGAAGCTTCACTTGCACGCACGGCGCTCTCTCTCGTGCGCACCAGTGGCTGGAACCTCTTGTGCTTGCAGCAAGTTCGAGCATCGAGCACCATGCCCACGCACACGCAGCTTGGATGCTCATGCCAAGCTGGCCAGCCGCTGTCAGCACCAGGCAAGCACCTCCAATAGCGACGGCGTTGACTGCGTTGCATTGCATCCCTCGTGGTGCCTTGAACAGATTCTTGCTGCCTTCCCTGCCTCGACGCTCGACGCTCGACACTCGACGCTTTCGACGCCGCAACGGCTCATCCCACTCACTCACTCTCACTCTCGCATCCGCGTCTAGCTCAAGGCCTCGCCTGGAGCAAGTGGCTGAACGGACGGACAGACAGCCTCAACATCATTCAAGTCGTTCATCCAAGCGAGGCCTCGTCCCACATCGATCCATCGTCATTTGGGCTCCAGCCCTATGAGGACGGCAATCTGACAGGCCGGTCGGGTGGTGCGACTTCCAAGAAAAGAAAAAGGTCACAGCACTCTATCAGGACCACCCGGCTTGACGTCAAGACAAGCTTGTCGTGTCGCCAATCGCGACCGGTTCGTACGCATCGCGAGGTCAATTCATGGAGACTTAAGCTCCATTGCTCTCGCTAGGCTAATGTGCCTTTGGTGTCCGATTTGCCTCGTCTTCCCCACCATCGAGCAATGGCCGGCGGTGGCTCTGATTTGCTCTGCCTTGCTTTGCTTTGCCGCACTCTCTCTCTCCTGCTGAGGATCGACGGCCGGCAGCCGATAGGTAGGTGGATGGATGGATGAGTGGATGGGTGGGGTAGTCGTACCGTACCATTCTTGCTACGAGGCGCGAGTGAGGCGTGAGTGATTGATTGACAGCCCCGACCCTCCCTCCGCCCGCCCGCCTGTCAACCTGGCGTGGGAGAGCGCGAGTCCGACTCGCTGATCTCGCCGCGCCGCATATTGGCCCCGCCACGCCACGCGGGCTTCACGCTGAGAAGGGCCGCGGGCCGCCTTTACCATCACGTCTCGAGTGTGATGACCCGCGGCTCCCTTCTTTAACGACTTCTGCTTCTATGCACACACGAGAGGCGGTACCTGCCTGCCCCGCCGGCCGCCCTGCGTGCGATCGTTCGCACGGCATGGCATGGAAAAGGCTCGCCGGACGTGGCGTTCGCCCGCTGCGATAGGTAGGCTCACCGCCGCAAGGCTTGCAGCCCATCCATCGCTTTGATCCCTTCTCACCGCTCAGCCGCTGCGTGGCTGCGGGCCTTTTCTACGACGACGACGAAGAATTGTAATCATTTGTCCGGATCAACAGGATGCGAGAGGGTGATCGGTCGTCGAGCTTCGATAGGGGCGCTAGACGGTACCGCACGGTCGTCTACGACATGGCACGGTACGGCCCAGCCCAGCCCAGCCCAGCCTAGGCTGCCTCGCCCGGCCCGGCCAGCGTATCTTGCGAGCCTTGGAGAGAGTGGCGAGGAGGGCCAAGAGATGGCGAATGACCTACGAGTAACATCGAAGCGAGCAGAGATCCGACCATGCTATGTACCTGTTTAGCTGGCCTCACAATACATGACCCGAATCTCGCCTCGCCTCGCCTGACATGTGCGATCGGCCACGGCCACGCCAGATCGCATCGCAGTGGATATCAAGGAAGATGTCATATCGAAAAGCAAAGCTCGTAAGGGCTCGGGCTCGTAGTCGGGCTCGTACTCGTAGGCTCGGGCTCGAACGTAACGAAACGAAAAGTAAGGGTGAATGTAGTCGTCGCCTCCCCTCCTTCCTCCTCCTTGCCGGATCGCCCACGCGCCATCAAGCCTCCAACAACTCACTAATCCTCTTGGCGAGACTCTCAATCTCCCCCTCTGCGTCCCCTCCCTCAGAACCCTCTCCCTCCCCTTCCCCGACACCACTCGTCTCACTCCTCCCCTCACCTCCATCCGCTCCACCACTCGCGGCGCCCCCTTGCTCGCCCAACTGCCTAATAAGCGGGAGGAGCTGCTCACTAGCCCTGATATGACCCTCGAGCGTAGCGTCCCCACTCTCCAGCAGCTGTACGACGGTCCACACTGCGATGTGCTGGAAAGTCGTATCCCCACTCTCCAAGAAACGCCTCAAGTACCCCTCCAACCCACCCTCCGGTTGAGCCCAAACCTCATTGAAAGCCGTATAGTCCTCACTCTTACTGCTCAGATTCCCCAAAGCGGCCGCCGAATTGCCCTGCACCTCCACGGAGGGAGAGGCAGTTAGGGGGATCAAGACGTGGCAGATTCCCATTTCGAGGAGTTGAGGTTTTAGGTCATCGCTGAGGGCGAGGACGGCGAGACAGGCCGTCATTTCTGATTGGACGGAGAGGGGGACGGAGAGGACGAGATCCTTTATGCGTTCTACTGCTCCGGCTTCGACTATTGCCGTCTTGTTGCGTTCGGAGGAGGCGGCGAGGTTGCGAAGTGTCGAGATGGAGTGGCATTGGATCCTGCGTGGGCGCGAGCGTGGGGGAGGGAGGGGGCGGGCGATAAGCGATCATCAAACAGAGGGGGATGGTAGAATCGCGAGGGCCCGACACTTACTCCTCGTTGTCCTCGTGTGAGAGTAGGTCGATCAGTGGGTGCAAGAAACCCGCATCGATGATCGGGCTCTCATTGAGTGGATGGATGCTCACATTCCTCACGCAAGCAGCCGCGCTCAGGATGAGAGGGAGGAAGGAGCTCCTAAGCAGGCGGAGCAAAGGGGGTAACCCATTGGATCGCACAATCTCGATCTGATACTTCTCATCTGACGCGAGATTGCGCAAGGCGAGGGCGGCCTGGCATTGCACCTTCAAGCTGCTGCTCTCCATGAGCCCGATGAGGTTCTGCACAAGTCGCGGTTCCCCCTGTGCGAGCTTGCGGCGATTTGCTGCGTCGACGGCAATGTTGCTTAGCGCTGTGGTACAGTAGTACTGAACGTCTGTGTCGCTCGATCCGAGGAGGCCGACGAGGACAGGGATGGCACCTGCATTCACGAGTTGTTGTCGATTCTCGTCGGAGTGCGTCATGTTGAGCAAGGCGCCAGTGGCGTTTCGTTGTACGCGCATGTCCTTTGATCGGGCGAGGCGGGTGAGAGGGACGAGTGCGCCCGACTTTGCAATCTTTGTCTTATTGTCGTCGTGTGTCGCCAAGTTGGTGATGCAGCCTACAGCGTTGCACTGCACCTCTACATTGGGGCTCAACATCTGTCGAATCAAGGGTTCCAAGCCGCCAAGCTTGACGATGAGCAGCTTGTTCTCCGAGTTGACGGCGAGGTTGCCCAGGGCGGCGCTGGCTGCGCGTTGTACTTCTACGTCGTGGGATTGAAGGAGGAACATGATGGGCTCCAATGTGTCGCGACCTACCTCGCGAACCTCCTTTTCTGTGATCTCGGCGAAGGCGAGGGCAGCACTGCGTTGCAGGTCGACATTGTCGCTGAAGGAGAGGGTGGAGAGGGAGCGCAATGGGTCGCCCGTGAAGAAGTTGGTTTCGCTGCGATCTGTGCGTGTGCGAGTGAGTGGAGAGAGAGTGGTGAGGGGTGTGAGTCAAGCATGCACTTGAGTATATGCTGCTGCTGCTGCTGCTGCTGGCGCCACGCACTCTCGAGGTATTGCAACAGGTCTGCGACAGCATCGCGCTCGTTGTCGAGCAAGAGTGGCTCGTAGGCCGTATTGCGCGATGTGCCGCAACAGCTACTACAGATGGCTCCCATTGCGTTACGCGATGATCGTGGCGCGCAGAGAGAGGGAGGTAGAGGAGGGAGTGGGAGTCTGCTGGCTCGCTATGCGATGCGATGGCGCTGCGCTAAGCCTCTTTACCGCGCCTGATCGCCTTTGGTTGATCGATGAGGGCGAGGGCGGTAAGTAGTGAGGTGGTGGTGGTGATAGTGATGACAAGGAGTCCGGATCTCGACCTCGACTCGGCGTGCGGGCGGAGTGAGGCGAGTTGAGTGTCGTCGTCGTCGTCGCTCGTCCGTCGCCTCGAGTGTCTCTGGCGTGTCCACAGGGGTTGCGACGTTGCCGTGCGAGCGGGCAGGCAGGCGGGCAGGCAGGCGGGCGGCACCGAGTGAGAGAGTCAGACTCAGAGGGGCCGCGAGGCGAGGTGCCAGCCAAGGAGGTGGCAGGCATCGACGACACTCGACGCTCGACGCTCAGACCGTGCATTCCAGCCGGGGCGGGCGGGCGGGCGGGCAGACCACGTGGACCTTCGAGTTAGAAAGTGTTGGTTGAGAGAGAGGGCGGGGCGCAGCGCAGCGGATGGAGGAGGCGGGTGAGCGAGTGGAAGCAGCGCAGCTTGAATTGCAATTCGTCATCATCATCACCACCACTACCATCACCACCACGCGCGCTCGCTCACTGCGATGGTGTCCAAGCGGGATGCGGCCTTGATGCCAGATGCAGAGAAAAAGGCGAACTCGTCACTGCCTCGCGCCTCCTCTTCCTCCTCCCCCTCGTCAGGCTCATCCCTGCTCAGCATCGTGCAATGCAGCTCCTCGATCATCACCAGGCTGGGCATCTACCTCTTCCTCAGATGGGTGCCCTCCTCCCTGGCATGGCCCGCCATCCCCATTGCGTTCGCGGTCTATGCGCTTTGCTGGCTGATCAAACAGCCAGCGTCTTCCTCTACTCGGGCGGCCAATGAGCTCCAGCAGCTCGCCAACGGCGTCGACGTACAGGGCGAGAAGATGGGCAAGAGTGTAGGGAACAAGCACAACGCCGAAGACAACAGCGCGAGAGGCGACTCATGGACCAGCTCGCTTCGCTCCCTCATCTCAGGCATCTCTCACCCCCACTCACCACGCATCAACACGCTCTCCTTGCTCCTTCTACACGTACTCCCCTTCCTCCTCTTCCTCGACTCCTACTCGTCCCCCTACCTCTTCCCCTCTCACTACGCTCACTCGCTCCTCTTCAACCGCGTCGCCTCCATAAGTCCTACAAGCGCCAAAATTCACGTACGCTGGCCTGAGCCCATCCCCCTCTTTGAGGGGCTAGCAGAAGATGTGCCCGGCAGCGGGGTGCTAAGGGATGGAATGACGAGGGTGGAAAGACCCTTTCGCGTCGTGTATCGCGAAGTCGTGGGGCCGAGCGGCATGGGCGGAGTAAACAGGTGGGAGCGCGGCCCCCTCGTCGAGGTAAAGGAGGAAAACGATTGGACAGCAACTGTTACGCTGGGCAATCTTTGGCCGGCAACGCAGTACGAGTATCGGCTAGCGTGGGCGCACAACAATACCTTTGTAGACCCGCAGCGACTCGTCGACTTTGAGAGCGATTGGACCCAAGCCCTCTCTTTGCGCTCCCCCTCCCCCTCTGCGTGGCTGGGCGCCTCTCCCCCTCAATTCGTCGGCGGAACGCTCCGCACCTGGCCTGACCCGCGAGCAGGACGTGGTATGGGCGGTCTCGTTGTCGCCTCGAGCCTGGACGAGGACCAAGATGAGGAGGACGTCTACGGGGATCGCGTACCGGTGGACGACCCGAATCACTTCAAGTTCCTCACCTCGAGCTGCGTAAAGCCTGATTTCCCCTATCGCGTCGACTCTTTTCCCCTCTGGAGCTGGGCGCTCCGCCTTCTCCCCTCGGCGCCGTGGTCGACCGGAGAGACGGACAGCTGGGGAAAGCGCAACGTGATTCGCGGCTTCGATCTGATGTGGGAGCGCTACCTCAAGGACAAGGCGCAGAGCAACGTTCGGTTCCTGCTGCAGCTCGGGGACCTCATTTACGCCGATGTCCCACGCCTCCCCTCCTCCCCATCCCTGGAGACTTATCGCACCCTGTATCGAAATCTCTTCGCCTCCCCCTCTTTCCGCCGGGTGATGGGCCACGTCCCCATGATTGGGATCTACGACGACCATGAGATCAAGAACAATTGGGCGGGGAGGACAGGAGAGGGCGGGGAGTTGCCCGAGTTCGCGGAGGAGGGGGCAGGAGGTGGCAAGGCTTGGAGGGAGTATGTGGGCGGAGGGAACCCGGAGTCTGTGGGTGGGGAAGGGGAGAATTGGTACACGTTTAGATATGGGGCTGAGGCGTGAGTATGCGGGGCGAAGGGGAGAATGAGCATGCATTGCACTGGAGACGAGGAATGCTGACCCCATGGCCCCACCCGCCTCACACACGCAGCTCCTTCTTCGTCCTCGACACGCGGCGGTATCGCACACCTTCCTCGCCGCCCAGCCCCGAGGACCTGGACCCCACCACGCCGGACCTCACGCCCTCCACTCCCTCCGTAAAGACAATGCTCGGCTCGACGCAGAAGGAAGCCTTGTTCCGATGGCTGTCCACGGTGAACTCCACGTCGACATTCAAGTTCCTCGTCTCCTCCGTGCCTCTCACCTCCCTCTGGGGCGGCATAGACGGGCCCTTGGACTCATGGGCGGCCTACCTAGCCGAGCGGGAGGAGATCCTCGAGGTACTCCAATACGTGCCCAACGTAATCGTGCTCAGCGGCGATAGACACGAGGCCGCCGTCGTCGGTCTTCGCTCTCTCTCCGCTCCCCACGAGGAGGGACGTTACCCCGTTCTCGAGCTCAGCACCTCCCCTCTCTCCATGTTCTACATCCCGCTCATCCGCACGCTGAGTGAGGAGAATGGGCGAGGCCCCTCTGGACAGGAGAAGATTCTAAAGTACTTCCCCGACGGGCAGAGTAAGTGGATGGACATCGAGGTCGACACGCGCAGGGCTGCCGAGCCGCGTTTGGTGTTCAGGTTGTGGGTGGATGGAGAGATGAAGTGGAAGGCGCGATATCTGGGTAAGCAGGTTAGGGCACAAGTGAGCGGAGTGGGTGGGGTGGCACAGAGCTTCCTACAATTGTTGGGTTGGAGGCCGAGACGCTGGTTCTGAATGGAATGGGGCGAAAGGTCAGAGAGGTGCTTCTCATGGCGGGATGACGGGAAGGTAGAACAGGCATTTCCATTAATTGTTGCATATCGTCAACACTCGACACGAGGGAAACTGGTGTCGTTGCTGATGAGATGGAATGAAGACGAAGCCAGCTTTGCATTGAGGTCCTCGACACAGCGGGTCAATCGTACTTTCAGCAGAAAGGCAGCGGAACGCCATTTCGCCTCCTGTCCGTGCATGGCTCAACTCAACTCAACTCCGCCTTCATCTGCTTGCTTGCTTGCCTGCTTGCTTGCTTGCCTCGCTTGCGCACGCACGCACACACGCACATGGAGCCCCACGATTCACCGTCCACCGGCCGTGAGCCGATGGAAAACAGCGTAGCGCAGCGTGCTGTTAATTGAGCGGCAAAGTGCAGGAGAATGCAATGAAGCGAAGGGCGCTCGGGCGGACGGACAGGGTGTGCTGCGCCGTGCCATCACAGCGTGGTAGCGTCAAGTGGGGGGGGGGGGGGGGGCCCAGAGTCATGTGCTCGCTGTAGATTGAAGTAGATTGGCCTGCTCGCGAGACTGTGCGTCTCTTCTTTCACTAGCTTGATTGGATTGATAGTCGAATGATCGAGGAGAGGTGGCGCGGACGGGGAGGCCTTTAAGAGGACAGGCGTACCGTACAATCGATGGTGAGACTCCATCATCGTCCCCCCCTCTCTCCATTCGATCACCCACCCGGAACCCCCCCAGCCTCACGTCGCAATGTCCCGCATCCTCACCCTCGCCCTCGCCGCAGCCTCCGCAGGCACGCTCTGCCTCGCAGCCTCGGACTCCCACCCTCACCCTCACCCTCACCCGCACCCCCACCCCGAACCCCAACCAACCGCGGCCCCCTCTCCCTCCTCCTCCTCTTCCCCTCAAGTCTTCGGAATCGACCCCCACCTAGCCCTAACAGACGGCAAGCTGTCCGCGGGCCTAGCCATCTCTGGTAACCCCCTGGTCATCCCCGGTCTCTTCTCCCAAACCTTCCTCCTCTCCCTCGGAGGCGACCTCAACACAAAGAACGGCATTGAAGGCGGAATAATCGAAGCGGATACCGAGTCCCTCGCCCTTCCCCTCCTGACGGTCGAAGCGCAGGGAGTGGCAATCAGCTCCGCGCCAGATGTCAGTGCCACCTTCAACCCAGGAACGCTCGCCGCCTCTGGGCTGGCAGGAGCAGTTCAGGGTGGTCTGCTCGGCCAGTCTTTTACCGTGTACGGCGGATTCAACACGGCGGCCCTCTCCCTCGACTCTTCCAGTGGACTGCATGGCACAATCGTGCCTACGGGGGCGGTCCAGTATGCCAGTCAGGGAGCGTCGGGCGCCATTGACGCCGGGATTGCCGGGACGAGTGCGCTGGGTGCTTATGCGAGTGGAGAGGTGACGTTGGGCCCCTTGGATGGCAAGGCGAGCGGGAAAGTCGTGGCTGAACCTACGGGTACGGCTGGATTTACTGCTGTGGGCGGGTTCAAGACGTATAGGATTACCGTGGGAGCGCCGCAGGAGACGGGGAGGGCGGCTTGAGCGAGCGTGAGCGGCGATGTTGTGCGTGGAATAGGCCGCTTCGAGGACGCTCGAGGATATCAAATCACTGTCTTTACAAGAATACCACTCCATCACCCCTCCTTCTATTGTGCTTTGCCTGGTGTGAATTGAGCCTCGTAGCGCTCGCCTCGTAGCACGCCGCCCCGCCGCCCCGCCCCACATCTCCTTCCGTTCCGCTGAGGCGAGTGGAGCTCGACCCTCGTCTCTCGATCTCGACGTCGGGCGGAGGTGGAAAAGGGAGGGCAGACCAGAGGCGGACAAGCAAGCAAAGTGCAAGGCAGGCCAGGGCAGGGCGGATGAGCGAGCGGACGGACGAAGTGTCGATGGCGGTTGCGCTTGCGGTTGCGAGCGGCTTGACTTGACCTTTGCTTCTCTACCACTCTCCACTCGCAGTCACCACCTCGTCGTCGCCCCGGGACATTGAGGTTTGTGACGATTTTGAATACCCCTCTCCTCGCACGACCGCCATTGTTTGCACCAGCATCGACCCAGCTTCACACACACACCAGCATATAGAGGTGCTCCTTCGCACAGCGGGCGAGGAGCCGCCACTGACTCGCTCACTCACCCACTCGACACATCGAATCGCCATCGATTGGCGGCGCGCTTGACGAAGACGACGATGAAGATCACCAAATCCCCCAAGCGACTAGCAGAGGCCACGCCCCAAGTGCGGGACCTCCTCGCCCAGATTGCCGCCAAGTCCAACGACGACCTGCCTCAAGTTCTTGACCATGTCGTCGAGTGGTGCTGGCCTCGCGGCGACCTCCACTACTGGACTCAGACCTTGAACCGCTTCGACGACATTCTCGAGACGAGCACAAAGGAGTATGGACTCGACAAGGGCGTGCAGGACAAGGAGTTTGAGCCGCAGAGGAAGAGGTGAGTGGCGCCGCCGCCACGAGTGGAAGCGAGTGGCAGGGATGAGCGAGCTGACCTCGATGCATACACAGGCTACTCGCTGCCATCTTACGCTTCTCACGCCTGCTCATCGAGAATTGCACAAATCGCAAGCTCTACAATAGCTATGATGTGAGTGGGGTACGCCGGCCAATGCGGGACGCCTGCCAACCATTCATGCGCGCCGCATATACTCACGTCACGCTCTCATCCCCCTCGCCAGCACCTCAATTCACTCCTCTTGACTCGCGATCAAGACGTCCTGGAGGCCACGCTGCGCCTTCTCCTACGCCCAGCCCAGCAGTACAGTAGCCAAGGCGGTGGTCGCTCCGATCTGCCCGTATCACAGGCTCGTCTCGCCACCCTCGCCCTTACGTGGTCACCTCGCGAGCACGGCGTCGACATGGTTTCCATCGCGCGAGAGAACAGCGAGATTGCGACCGAATGTCTCGACGTCAAGTTCGACTTTTACAAGAGGGACGCGCGCGTGCAGAATGAGCAGAACGTTGCGGGCCCCTCCAATTCGGCAAAGACGCACGAGGCCACCGCCAGTAGCTCCGCGCCCAGCGCCAGTAGCTCCACGCCATCACGCCCTCCTCGGCCCGCCGCAGCCTCCGCCGCACGAGCAACGCCAGCCAATCGTGACCCCGGTGCCAACACCGAGGGACTCACAACGATCCGCCTCAAGAACGTCGCGAGCGCGCCCGCCGCCGACCTCTTCCAATCCGTCGTCGCAGAGCACAAGGTGCCCGTAGAGGATCAATTCGAGCTCTATCAAAAGATCCGCGTCGCAGCATCACTCCCCGATCCAGCAGCACGCAAACAGCTCCTCGTCTGCCGCTTGCTTGCCATCGCCTGCTACTCGCACATCGTCCCCGAATCGACGGCAAACACGCAGCTCTTCTTGTATGAGCCGGACATTGTACAGAAGACGGCAGCACTCGTCGAGTCGCAGACGCAGGGCGACAAGGTCGTTCAAGCTGCGGGTCTGTATGCGTTGGATGCCCTCGGCAGGTTCCGCTCCAAGCTCAGCGAGGTACTCAGCTCCGTGAGCGCTTCGGTCAATCACGGCACGCTGTTGCGTATCCTGCGCAGCACCATCGACGACACGACGAGCGGCGATGAGCCTACGTACTCTGAGCATCTCATCGACAGTCTATTCGGCTTCATCGCTTTCATCACGAGCACCTCGCTCGGCTGCCAAATGATCGTCAACGCGGGGTTGGTCCCACTCCTCGTACAACTCGTAGACACTTGTCGCTCCGAGGTATACACGCTGCAGCGCACCGTCACGCGCGCCATCGGCCTCATCGACTCGGTCGTCTACACTTTCCCGCCCGCCTTTCAATGGTTCACTGACGCGCGCGGCCTAGACGTCTTTGTGCGCCGCATCGAGGTCGAGGTGGCCAAGGACATCAAGAACAGCGGCGAGAGTATGAATGACCCAGATGCGCCCGAGGCAGGAAGCCCGGACTCCGTTTATGGGCAGCTGAGCTTTGGCAAGGCCAGCCTGCTGCGTAATCTCTTCAAGTCCATCTCACACATGATGACGTCGACGGGTACCGCCGAGGGCCTGCGTGGCCTCATTGATTCGTCGCTCCTCGAGTCGGTAAAGACGATCTACTCGCGTCGCGCGCTGTTTGGCCCACAGATTCTTGCCCTCGCCATCAACATCGTCGCCACATTTGTGCACAACGAGCCCACGTCGCTCGCGATCATCCAGGAGAAGAAGATCCCCGAGCTGCTCCTCTCCCTCATCGAGGAGGACGTCGAAGGGTCGTCGGACGTCGTCAACGCCATCCCGAACGCCATTGGCGCAATCTGCCTCAACGAGAGCGGGCTCAACCTCTTCAAGTCGCGACGTCAGGCCATCCTGGACCGGCTCTTCGCCATCTTCACGTCTAAGCGCCACCTCCGCGTGCTGTTGGACCGCGACATGGCTTCGGTCTTTGGGAGTTCGATGGACGAGCTGATCCGCCACCAGCCATCGATGAAGCAGCCCGTCTTTGAGCACATCATCGCTACGATTGATCGCGTGTCGCAATTGGGCCGCGAGTGGGAGCCGCCAACGAGGGACGAAGACGCAAATCGCTACGGCTTGCAGCTGGTCCCTGAGCTCGCAGACGCTGGCGAAGACTCGCAGACGCGCAGCCTCGCGCTAGGCGATGTAGTCATGGACGAGGCGGATACGGTGCGCAACAGTCGCGATGAGAGCCTGATTGAAAACAACGACGTCATCGGCTATATGAACGTTGTGGCACGCTTCTTGGACGGATTCCTCCAGCACGCAAGCCACTGTCGCGATTTCCTCAAGTCAGACGGGCCAGAGAAGCTACTGCGCTGGGCCTCGCTCCCCTGCCTGCCCTACAACTTCCCCTCGTCCTCCACCGCCGACTCTCTCGTCATGCTGTTGCGATACATGACCGACACGAGCCCAAGCAGCGTGATGATGTGCGTCTTGAAAGAGGTCAAGCAGGGGCTGCACGAGACGGCCGATCTATGGAACAAGGACCCAAGCGTCTCATCGTGCGCTGAGCTGCTAGCGCCGTCGAGCGAGGCGACTCTCTCGTCGAGCAACACGCGCTTCCGCGCCCTCGTCTCCCTCAACGCGCGGCTTCACCTGCTGAGCGACGTTCTCTCCACATTTGGCTACGGGGGAAGCAAGACGGCCGCCGCCCTCATGCAGAGCCTGCAGGCTAGCGCTGCGCACCCTTCGATGGGCCAGGCGACCGTCGCCGACCTGGGCGAGTTGCTGCGCACCGTGTCATGGGAGAATATCCTGCTCAAGGCCACCGCGCCGCCTGTGCCTGCCAGCGAGGAGCGCGGCGCCGGTGGCGGCGAGGCGTCTCAACCTGGTATGCCCAGCAACCTGCTCGAGGACAATGCGGGCGTCGTCGAGCGTGCGGCCGCTGCGGCGGGAGGTAGTGAAGGGAGTGCTGCCCGCAATCCGCGCATCGCCAACAGTCTCGCGCTGCGCTACGTCCTCTCTCAGCTGCCCGTAAGCCTCACGGCCTTCTTCTCCGAGACGACCAAACTCTTATCGCCCGTCGCCAAGCGATCGCCGGACGCAACGCAGCGCCGTACCGCAGCGCAGGTGACCGAGTCACTGGGCAAGGCACTTGCGGGCCTCTTTGCTAGCCACGAGTCGGAGAACACGAGCAACAACTTTGCCTACGCCACTACGACGATCGGACACGTGACGAACATACTGTACGAGGAGCGGGGCGCGAGCGTTACGGTGCACACGGGCGTATTGGTGGCATTTGAGCGCGCGGGAGGGATAATGGCGTTGATTGACCTGTACAAGCGGTACGTCTCCGAGCTGGATCGCCACTTCGCCGAGCACGGGGCGTGCAGCAGTCTCGACGAGTTGAGCGGGGACAAGGAGGCGTCCCTTCGTCTCGGACACGTCTGCGGGGGGATCAAGGTTGCGCTGAACCTTTTGCAGAACCTCAGTGCTGCACGCCCGCTCATGGAGAGCTCCTCGACTACGCAGCTGGTCAACGCATCGCAGGCGAGCGGCGGAGAGCCATTCAAACCCAACGAGATCATCCTGCGGCTGCGCCTCGCGATTCTCCCGCACCTGAGGGAGACGTGGGAAAAGGCTTGGCTGCCCAACTTGCCGCTCAGCGTGAATCGCAGCGTCATGCAGACGTTGATGCACATCGTGCAGGGCGAGGGCGAGAAGGCGCCGCGCTCCAAGCCGGAGCCATCTGCGGCGAGCGCAGCAGGCGCGACGGGGACGGGAGGCGGCAGCAATCCCTTTGCGGGTGGCGGGCTCGAGGCCCTACTTGGAGGACTGGCAGGCGGGGTTTTCCCCTCCGGCAGCGGGACGGGCACGCAGGGTGGACCACGACGTGCGCAGCCTGTGCGGGCGGACGAGGGTAGGATCCAGCAGCTGATGGACATGGGCTTCCCGCGTGGAGCGGCGAGGCATGCGTTGGTGCGATATCATAACAATGCGACGGCCGCGACAGAGTATCTGCTGGCGCACCCGGAGGTTGTGGGGAGCATGGCGAACGAGCCCGACCCAGAGCCAGAGCCGGAGCGCGAGGCGGAGGCTGAGACGCAGGGCGAGACGGAGACGACCCCAACGACAGAAGCAGTAGCAGGTGGCTCTGGGACGACTACGGCGCAGCAGCCTGAAGCAAGCTCGAGTACGGCGAGTGCGGCGAGCGCGACAGACGCGGCCGCAGCTGTCCCCGCTGCGGCGCCCACGGACCCAGACGTCGCTATGCAAGAGCAAGAGAGCGGCAGCGGTGGCAGCGCCGACGCCGAGGCAAGCAAGGCACAACCGCCCACTCAGCCCGTCCCCGCTTCATCCTCATCGCCGACCGAAGAGTCGCCCCTCAAGGCGCAGCTCGACGAGATGCGAGCCCCCGTCAGTGCCAACATCACGCAACGCGGCCTCGAGCTCGCCGACAAGCACGAGCTCCTCGTCTTCGACGTAAAAGACTCGGTTTGCATCTTCTCCGAGGACACGCCGCGTACCAAGGCCACGCTACGCAGCATAGTCGAGAAGATTCACTCCCTCCAATCCGAGGCATTCGACACAAAAGGAGAGACAGCTACGGCTGTGCGCATCCATCTGCTGGCGGTGGTACTTAACGAATTGCTCGTGTACAAGGCCATGGACGACGATCTAGCTCAGCTGACCAACAATGCCCTAAGCGGGCTTGTGGCAGGGTATGCCTCGCGCCCAGAGAGGGATTCACCCTGCAAGTGGCTCGCCCCGCTCTTCCTCGTCGTCTCGTCGGTCCTAGGCCGCGAAGAGGCACCCGTCGAAACGTCCCCCATCAATGCAGACGAGGAACCACGCGCCCACCTCGAGCCGGCAAAGCGCACTTCCCGTTTCGAGGCTGAGGCGCACGCCTACTTCGACCTCTGCCTGCGCTCCCTTTCCCACGCGGACAAGCTCAGCCACGAGGAGCTTCTGGCACTCTACCGTCTGCTCGTCCTCCTTACCCGCAACACGCACATCGCTACGAGCCTCGCGCGACGAAACGGCATCGCTACACTGCTGCGCCCCTTCAGCGCGGCGGGCAGCGCGGGCAAGAATATCAAGGGCTGTCAATCCTACCTCATCCTCTGCCTGCGCCACGTCGTCGAGGCGGCGGGCCAGCTGCGGGCCAGTATGGAGCTCGAGCTACGCGCCTTCTTCGCCAAGTGTCGCACGCGCACCGTCGACTCGCTCGCCCTCACGCGCTACGTTAGTCCGTTGGTGCTGCGCGACCCGCAGGTCTTCTTGGAGGTCGTCGAGGCCAATGCGGAGATTGCCGACTTTCATGCTGTAAAGGGAACGGCGCTGGTACAGTTGGCAGAGCGCGAGGCGCAAAAGGACGGCACCGGCGGCGGCGGCGATGAGAGCGCGGGTGCTACGACGCTTAACATCGAGGAGCGTGCGGGAGATGAGACCGTAGATGGACCGCCCTCGCCGAGCAAGGGCGCACAAGGGGAAGACGCACAGATGCAAGACCTCACCAAGCGCGGCGGCGGCGGCGGCGGCGGCGGCGCTGCGCACCCTCCCGCCAACCAGGACGTCGATGCGGTCATTCATCTCCTACTCTCCGAGCTCTTGAAGACGTCGCGCGAGCGACCTGCGGCGTGGGCTAAGCGCGAGGCCGCTCGCAAGGTCAGCGACGCCGGCGGCGACGGCACTACTGCAGGAACCAGCGTGGACCACGAACACGACGACGACGCCCTCGACTCGACCTCCTTCTACTCGTGCTTCATCATGCAGACACTCACCGAGCTCACCTCTAGCTACACGACGTGCAAGACGAGCTTCATGTCCTGCACCAAGCGACGTCTGGCCGCTCTCGCCCCTGGTACTACCCCGTCCAAGGCAAAGAACACTCCGGGCATCATGACTCTGTTCCTCTCCGAGCTGGCGCCCCTCGGCTTCCTCGAGCGCTGCGACGACATGACCGAGATGCGTCGCCGGGCCACGATGAGCAACTGGGCGATGAGCACGCTGGTCGCGATGACGAGCGACATCGGTTTCCACGCTACGGTGAAGGAGCTCGCGCCGGAGATCATCAGCGTGCGCAAGCAGATCCTCGACGCCCTGGGCCGCGCACTCAAGGACGCCTCGTGCTCAAAGGAGAACATCGAGGTGCGCTACGGCCGTCTCTACGCTCTTGCGGACCTCTGCCATCGCCTCCTCTCTGCGCGACCTAGTGCCGGGAGCCCTTACCTCAAGCAGAGCGACGACTTGACGCTGCACATTGCAAAGACGATGTTGGAGAAGAATTACGTCACCGTCCTGACGGGGGCGCTCGCTGATGTGGACCTGAACCTTCCCACCGTGAAAGCGCTGCTGCACGCCATCCTGCGACCACTCGAGCAACTCACCAAGGTAGCCATCAAGGCGCAGTCCAAGGGCGAGCGCCACGCGCATCGCTTTGGCTCCGGTTCGACTGGCAGCGAGTTTGGCGGCGACTCGTCGCCTTCGTCGTCGGTACGCGGCGAGCACCACGGCGAGGCCGGTGAGGCGGCGGAGCGCGAAGAGACGCCCGACTTCTATCGCTCCTCGGCCCTCGGCATGCACACGGGCGAGATGGGCGAGCCGGAGGACTCGATGGACGAGGACGAGGAGGACGAGATGGATGATGATGAGATGGGGGAGATGGAGGGTTACTCCGAGGACGAGGATCGGAGCGATTTGAGTGACGAGGATGACGAGGATGATGGGGAGGACGACGAGGACGACTCGATGAGCGGGGGTGACTCGATGAGTGGGGATGAGGTTGTGGAGGTCATTGACGCGGACGGTGACGACATCGATGAGGACGAGGTAGATGAGCTGGAGGACCCTGATGGTTGGGAGGATGAAGACAGCGACGATTACTCCGACGACGAGGACGACGAGGAGGATGCGCTCGACTTTGTCCTCAACGAGGGGGGTGGAGCCGAAGAGGGCGCCGAGGGCGGCGCGAGCGCTGTCACGTCGCACCTCGTCGACGCTGGCGAAGACTTGCTCGGTCTGCCTGGTCAACACGACCTCGACCTCGACGTAGACGAAGAGGAAGAGGACGAGGATGGAGAAGAGGACGACGAGGAGGAGGAGGGCGGCTCGATGTACTCGCGCTACGATGATGAGGACGACGAGCTTGACATTCTTCAAGACATGCCCACGCTCGCTGGCCAGCTCGGTAGCGGGCAAGACCGCTTCTCCGCACAGTGGAGCTACGGCCAGGCATCCGGCGGGCGCTTTGGTGCCACCAACCACATTCCTCCCTCATTCTTCCTTGGCTCGGACGCCGGCGCCGCACCTGGGGGTATCGCCGCAAATGGATCTCGACGTCAACGCCTCGCGCGCTCCACCATCCCCGTCGAGGACCCAGCCTCGCATCCCCTACTCATCGACGACCACCGCAACTCGCGCGAGGGCACGCGGCACACCGCCTCGTCGCGCCGTAGCCGCCGTGCCATGGGAGCAGGCGGAGGTGCAGGTGCAGACCCCAATGCCCCGCCTGGATCGTACCACGACTGGGCTTCGTCTATCCAAGAGCTCGTCGGGGGCGGGACCATGGACATCTTTGAGGCCATCTTTGGGCGTGCGGCGCAGGGTGGCGGACCCGCAGCAGGCGGCGCTGCTGGTGGTGGTGGTGGTGGTGCTGGCGGCGGTGGCGGCGGCGGTGGCGGTGGCGGAGGCGGAGGCAGAGGCGGACCATCGACAGGACCAGGAGGCACAGACGCTGCCATCACGATTGAACTCGGCGAAGACGGACGAGGCGCACGCATGGCCATCAACGCTGGGCCGACACCACCAGGCCCCGGCGCAGGAATCTCCGGCGGCTCAGCTCAAGCCTTCCAAGCTCTGCAAGATCTCAACCGCCTCCGTCGTCACCACGGCGCCGGCCCCTCTCGACGTCAACGCGGCGACGGCGCAGATGCCGCGGCTGCTACAGGTCAGCAACAGGCCCCTCCCCGCCAGGACCCCGTCTCTGCCATTGCCGCATTCGAGCCTTTGCCCACGCTGCAACGCTGGACCGACGAGGAACGCATCATCTTTGGGGAACGATCCTCGGACAAGTCTTCACGACTGCGCAACCACATCAATGCGGTGCTGTGGCCCAAGTGGAAGGCCGAGGAGCAAAAGAAGAAGGCCAGCGACGAGAAGGAGCTCGCGGATACGACTGCCGCGCGAGACCGCATCTTGGAGGAGCTGCAGACGGTGCGCACGAGGTTGGAGGAGAGTCGCAGCGAGATCGCGTCGCTGCAGGAGAGTGTGAGGAGTCACCGCGCCAACGAGGCGGGTGCAACGACCGCAGAGGATGTAGAAATGGGCGAGGGCAGCGGTGCGCCACGCGAGCCACGCGAGCCACCAGCGCCAGCTGCGGATGCAGGGAGCGCGCCCAATACGACAGTCGAGGAGGCCACGTCGAGTACGCCCACTGCACCCGCTGCGGCCGCCGCAACCACTGCCACCGCTGCGCCCACGCAACGCTCCATTTTCCACCTGCACGGCGACGAAATCGACATCACCGATCTCGACATCGACCGCGAAGTCCTCGAAGCTCTGCCCGAAGAGATGCAAGAGGAAGTCATCAGCCAAGCCCTTCGCGAGCGTAGAGCTGCCGCCGCCGCAGAGAATGCCGAGGAGACAAGCATCAGCCCCGAGTTCCTCAACGCTCTACCTCCCGAGCTACGAGCGGAGGTGCTCGAGCAGGAGGCTGCCGAGCGCGCACAGCGTCGTCGTGACGAGGAGCGAGCGCGACAGCAGCAGGAGGCGCAACAGCAGGGAGCAAATCAGCAGCAGGAGACTCAGCGAGGTGCAGGCTCGGCGCAGCAATCGCAGCAGCAGCAGCAGCCGCAGCAGCCGCCACCCCAATCAAGCGCTGCCGGTACCGGCGGCGACCTGGGCTCTGCTTCTCCCCTCGCTAGCCTGCATACGTTGCTCGGCCAGCCCTCACGCGCTAACATCCCGGGCTCTACACGCTGGCGTTCACTGATGGGGCGCGAAGAGGGCGGTGAGGCTTCCGCGGCAGCAAAGACGTCAACAACGCAGCGCGACGCTATCCAGCTCCTCGACGGCAACGGCATCGCTGCGCTCATTCGCCTCCTCTTCTTCCCTGGCCTCAATGCCTCCAGCGCAGGGCTGCACAAGGTGCTCACCAATCTCGCTCAGAATGCCAAGTCGCGCGTCGACATCCTCTCGATGCTGCTTCGCATCCTCGCCGACGGCTCCACGGACGCCCACGCAGTCGACAAGTCGTACGCCAGCATGAGCGCCAAGGCGCTGACGCCCATGCGACCGGCCATGGTCAAGCGAGCTACGTCGATGGCCTCGATGAATACGGTGACGCAGAGTCCCACGCCTGCCGTCGTCATCGCCCCGCTCGAAGCGCCCCACCTCATGGCCAGCCGCAGCATCGAGACGCTCCTCCAGCTCACCACGCACAGCGAGCAGTGCGCTCTTTACTTTTTGACCGAGGACGCGCGCTTCGCCAAGAAGGCGGCGAGCGCGAACGCAAAGGGCAAGGAGAGCAGCAGCGCTCGAGGCGGCGCGCCTATCAACGTCCTCCTGGCCCTCCTCGAGAAGCCATCGATCCTCGGCAACGCGCAGGTCGTCGACTCGCTCATTGCGCTGCTTCACACCGTCACCAAGCCAATCCCAGGCATCGTAGACAAGGCAAAGAAGGCTGGGCGCGCCACGACGGACGCGGAAGACTCTGCTGCGCCCCTCGCGAGCATCACCAAGTCGCACCTCGGCTTCGTTGTTCGTCCCCTCTCGACGGCCATCTCCTCCAAGGGCTTCCAGCACACCCTCGCCGTGGCCGCCCACCTCGCATCGATAGACACCGAGTCGCGCGACGTCGTCACGAGCGCCCTACAGCGCGAGGCGGCAGAGGCGACTACCGTGCTCAGCGGCGACCTCGATGCGCTCCTCGTCACGCTCCCGCTCGCCCGCGAGCCCGAGGAAGCCGGAGCCACGGGCAGCAACGAAGCGTCCACGCCCAAGACTCGCATCCAGTCGGCAGCCCTGCCCGCTCTGGCGAAGCCGGCCAGCGCGCAGGCTCGTCTCTTGAGATCGCTGCGGGCGTTGGAGTGGTTGTGCACGCGTACCTCGGCGTAGGCGTGCGCGCGCGCGCGCGAAGGGCGCGAATGTAGAAGGCGTTTTTCAACATCACATCACATCTCATCTCATAATCTCACGAATACAAGTTTCCATTGTCCTTGACGATCTGCGTGCTAGTCCAGAGCTTTCTCTTGTGTTACGGGCCTCCACCATCTAGCCTCTCGCCTCATCGCCCACCTCGTGTATGTGATCCCAACGAAGGCTCCCACGCCCGCCCAAATGACGGCGATGGCGAATGTGGTACCGTAGACGACGTCGTCGCTGGCGCCCGAAAAGACGAGTCCACACTCCATTCCAAGAAGTGCCATTCCCCCGAATCCAATCAGGAAGCCCAGGTCACGCAGCATAGCCCTGAAGGGCGGGCTAGCCCTGTACCTCTCATCCAACCTGCGCCTGAACTCAGCCCCTCCTCCGCCATCGACGGCGGTTAGGTCCTCCCACAAAAAGTAAGTAGCAGGGCGCCATGGCTCGCCCTTGGCTACGGAGCTAAAGCGGAATGGTAGTGGGACCTTGAAGACCGTAAAGAAGGAGGTAACGACGAGCTGCAGGCCTACTTCTGCCACAAGGAGGCTAGGGCCTAGCGCCAGGAGTGGGAAGTAGCCGAGGACGCAGGCAATTACGAAGAAGATGGTGACGAAGTAGATGCCGAAGAGAAACTGGCGAGACAAAGCGGATCGGGCTCAGTGTGGAGTCGCCGCGTTGTGCACGATACAGTCGCTCTCACCTGCCATTGGAAAATGTCAAACTTCTGCCACCATTTTGCGTTTGGACGCTGGACAGACTTGGCTCCTGCCTGGGATTCGGGTACGGGGCTTCGCTCTCCTCCCCTTCTGAGCAGCCTGTAGGCTCTCCAAGGCCATGTCAGCGGCGAGTTGGCTAATACGGCCGTCGTGACACCGTACAGGCGCTCGGTGGTCACGTTGCCGTAGTGCTTGACGAGATAGTAGACTAGCACTGGTGCGCAGGCGTTGAGGATGACGAGGAGGAGCAAGGAAATGATGAGGCCCGTTCTGTGCTCGCGCACCGAGTAGCCTAGAGAGGGGGGAGCGCTGGGACGCGATACTTCTTTTGATTGAATATTTTCGACGACCGTCTCATCTGACGCCGGCGAGGTCGTGGGGCCGACTGGAGGTGAGCTCGACATGGTCTAGCGCTAAGGGATGACCGCATCGTTCTCAACTCACCTCCCTTGTTATACCCATCTCAGCGAGAAGGACGGGAATTCACATCCGCCCCTTGCCAAGATGTCAACAGAGAGTATAGCGCAGACATCCAGGTTCAAGTTCGCAATGGTCCCTCTCCACACTTATCGACACTAGTCGAATCTGACCTGAACGTGCATCTTGCGGGCGGTGCGAGGCAGGCTGGATGGACCCTGCAGCGGGAAGCTTATCGATCCATCGCGCCTTTTTGGCGAGGCGGATCGTGGGAGTGGTGCGAGATGGCGATTTGCCCAGCGAGGAGGAGCATCAGTTTATATCATTGAAGTGGCTCATCATCACCAAAAGATCCAGGACTGCGATGCCCCGTAGCGTTTCTTCAGCATGTGGCGACCTCTGCCCCTTTGCTGAGCGCGAGACGCAAAGTCGGATCGGAAGGCGGAGCTAGACTAGCGCCTTGCGGTCGGAGCACGGGCGGGCGGGCCGACCAAACACCCAGTGTGCCGCTCCGCACTCAGCTCAGCCTCAACCCTCCTGCCGCCCGCCCGTGCCAGGGCTACCTAATCAACCACAATCAACTTCGCCCCGCACCTTTGCTCCCTACGCCATTGTTCCTGACCTCGCTGGTCCGAGGCAGAAGCAGGACGATGATCAGCGACCATCGAGCGTCGAGCAATCTACGGGGCTGTGCAGCCGCCAGCTAATCAAGTCGAAGCCAAAAGGCGAGCGAGCGAGCGATGCAATCTTGCCTTTCGACCACAACATCGATCATCCCCTCTTGCCTCCCCGTCTGCTGCCTAAACCTCCCTCACGCCTCGTCACCACCAACTCGTCACCCAGTCGCATACAGCATTCCCTCGCAGCTGGGCTCCGCATTGCGCTGCGGTGCGGTGCGGGGCTCAGCTACTATCCCAGCCAGCTACACCACCACCGCCTTCGAAGTGAGTCTCCATGTCGTAGCTCGCTATGCTGCGCTTAGTGTCTGCCCTCTGACGCCCACTTCGCCGCCTATCTCGACACAGCGGCAAGCAAGACACACCACACCCGCCACGCGAGCGCCAATGCCATCCGGATCAGCCTCATCATTATCGCCTCAAGCTGCCGCGCGCCACTCGAAGCAACCAGACCTAGCCTCGCCATCAAGTCTCACGCCTCCCAGCAAAAGTCATGCACCACGCATCCGATCAAGATGCGCCGCACCAAGACGCACAGGGCGATCCACTGAGCTCGCAGGGACGTCCTGCCAAAGGCCTTCTTGAACCGGGATGAGGTAGCAGTGCTGGATGGAGCGGTGCTCGAGGATATGAAGAGGAGGCGCGACCTCAAGGGGAGCGAGCTGGAGGAGGAGGAGGATGCGAAGCGAGAAATGAAGCGAGAGAATGATCAAGAGGACAACGGCGAGGACAGAGACACGAGCAACATGACGGCAATGACCCCCGTCGAGATCCGCGGCCACCTCACTCTTAAGCGCAAGGTACTCAAGCGATACTGGCGGGGCCTTATCTCAGGTATCGAGCTACGCAAATATGGATGCGCAGCACGCGGCGTTTTCGATCGTCCGCTGCCCTTCCCTGGCCCTCCTCTACTGTCGCACCCGCCAGCAATTTGCCCAGCTCCTCGAGAAGAACCCGCACCTCGACGCGTACCAATGCAAGACGCCAGGTACCTTGTGATTGTCATAGAGTTCACCGACGAGCGGAGCAAGGCAGCCATGGCCCTTTACGTCGGTTCGGCTTGTGGGCAGTCGGTCGCAGAGCGTACGGCGCAGCACGACGCCACGTTCGAGGAGCTGGCTGAGGCGGAGCGTTGCAACCACGAGAGCAAGATCCTTGAGCTCGTGGCGAGGCAGCCGGGCCTGTATCGTCGTGGAACCACTCGCCATATGCACTTTACGCTCACGCAGATGGCAGAGAATCTCGACACTCCCGAGCTGCAAGCCGAGTGGCTCCAGACGCTCGCCTACAGCATCTTTGGCAAGCGCCTCGACTGTCTTGGGGAGGCCAAGCTGGGCCCGCGCCAGATCGTGCGAAAGGTAACGGCCATGGACGAGCTAATCGGTTCGGCTCTCTTCAACTCCGTCACGCCTGGCTTCCCCATGATCTCGGAGCTCAACGGCATGCGCTATTCTGTCAAGCGCATCGCGGAGAAGGCCAACGCTTGCGTGCCGGCCGTGCGGTTCGCAGATTTGAGGTGGCGTCCTTGCAAGAACACTCCTCACCTCAAGTACATCCCTCCTCGCTTGCCGCCCAACATTCGCCGATCGGAGAGGTCCAAGAGGAGCATCGCCCACGTCAACTACCTCTCGCAGACGTCATCGATGGCGAGCGAAGCTATGGGGCGGATGCCTGGCGTTCGGGTCGTCCTCACCCACGGCGCGACCCTGCGCAAGCTCGTCGAGGATGAGCACGCGAGGCGCGAGAGGCGGCAGAACGTTGGTGGAAGTACGGCGGCGGGCTGGGATGTGGACGGGGACGACGGCTTGATCGAGATCATCGAGGTCTACGAACCAACGATCGCCAGCACTGTCCCGATGAATAAGGACTGGAAGCAGATCATTGCCCAGCCTTGCGAGGACGACGAGGAGGCGGCAGGAGAAGGGAGCCACGATGGCGCACACGCTCTGGAGGATGTCGAGTCGGTCGTTGTCCCTGGGTCTGCTGATCCCACGCTCATCGGACTGCGACGGGCGCCGATCGATTCGCGTCGTTCCTACGCGTGGCGCAGAGTGCGAGGACCCAAGCACCGTCTGGCAAGTCTCGGGCTACGCAGAGGAAGTGCGCCAGGAGGTCAGCGACGTCCTCACGCTCCCAGGAGAGGGCGGCCAGGCGTACAGGATCGACTCACGCGGCAAGATCATCGTGGAGCTCGCGGACAAGACCTTTACGCTGGACCAAGCCGCCATCCGCTCTTCCCCTCTCGCACCGGACAAGGCTCGTTTCAAGCTGCACGCTCTGGACGGCAGCTGGGTGCAGTTAGCACGCTCGGCTTCGGGCGAGGCGTCATTTGTCCTGAGGCACTACGACGTCGGCTTCGACTAAAGGGACAGCTCCGGTGGTGGAAGGCGCAACCGATTTGTAGCTACGGGCGAGATCATCGTCGCAGAAGGATGAAGCGAACTCTTTGCGGAGAACTGCCTCGACCGTCAAGGCCATGAAGGACCTGATCTGCCTTGCAATTGTTGACGGCGACATTGAACACACACTCGGCCTTTTTGGCGATTTCAGCAGCGCCAGCGACTACTATAGGGCACGCTTTGCGCTTTTCGCAGACTGCGCCAGCGTGAGTGCCAGCGTGAGCGCGCACAAACGCATTCCCTACATCGCCCCGCAGCCTGCTCTTGTCTCTCCTCTTGGGCGTCCTCGTTTGGGTCTTCTCCTTTTGGGTTGGAAAGGATTG